TTATTTTCTGTTTGGATGATCTGTCCATTGGCATAAGTGGGGTGTTAAAGTCCCCTACTATTATTGTGTTACTGTCAATTTTTCCTTTCATGGTTGTTAGCATTTGCCTTATGTATAGAGGTGTTCCTATGTTGAGTGCATAAATGTTTATAATTGTTATATCTTCTTCTTGGATTTGTCCTTTAATCATTATGTAGTGTCCCTCCTTATCTCTTGTAACAGTCTTTATTTTAAAGTCTTATTTTATGTGATCCGAGTATTGCTACTCCAGCTTTCTTTTGATTTCCATTTGCATGGAATATCTTTTTCCATCCCTTCACTCTTAGTCTGTATGGTCCCTAGGTCTGAAGTGGGTCTCTTGTAGACAGCGTATATATGGGTCTGGTTTTTATATCCATTCAGCCAGTCTGTGTCTTTTGGTTGGGGCCTTTAATCCATTTACATTCAAGGTTATTATCGATATGTATGTTCCTATTACCATTTTCTTAATTGTTTTGGGTTTGCTTTTGTGGGTCTTTTTCTTCTCTTGTGTTTCCTGCTTAGAGAAGTTTCTTTAGCATTTGTTGTAAAGCTGGTTTGGTGATGCTGAATTCTCTTAGCTTTTGCTTGTCTGAAAAGCTTTTGTCTTCTCCATTGAATCTGAATGAGGTCCTTGCTGGGTAGAGTAATCTTTGTTGTAGGTTTTTCTCTTTCATCACTTTAATTACATCCTGCCACTCCCTTCTGGCCTGCAGAGTTTCTGCTGAAAAATCAGCTGATAATCTTATGGTATGTTATTTTTTGTTTTTCCCTCGCTGCTTTTAATATTTTTTCTTTGAATTTAATTTTTGTTAGTTTGATTAATATATGTGTTGGTGTGTTTCTCCTAAGGGTTATCCTGCATGGGACTCTCTGTGCTTCCTGGACTTGGGTGACTTTACTTTCCCATGTTATGGAGGTTTTCAACTATGATCTCTTCAAATATTTTCTCAGACCCTTTTTTTTCTTTTCTTTTCTGGGACCCTTATAATTCTAATGTTGGTGTGTTTATTGTTATCCCAGAGGTCTTTGAGATTGTCTTCAATTCTTTTCATTCCTTTTTCTTTATTCTGCTCCTTGGCAGTTATTTCCACCATTTTGTCTTCCAGCTCACTTATTCGTTCTTCTGCCTCTGTTATTCTGCTACTGATTCCTTCTAGTATATTTTTCATTTTAGTTATTGTGTTGTTCATCTCTGTTTGTTTGTTCTTTAGTTCTTCTAGATCTTTGTTAAACATTTCTTGTATTTTCTCATTCTGTGCTTCCATTCTGTTTCCGAGATTCTGGATCATCTTTGCTATCATTACTCTGAATTCTTTTTCAGGTAGATTGCCTATTTCCTCTTCATTTATTTGGTCTTGTAGGTTTTTACTTTGTTCCTTCATCTGTGACGTATTTTTTTGCCATCTAATTTTTTTTTTTTTTTATGAGTAGGACTGTGTTCCTGGTTTATTGGTTGTTTGGCCTGAGGCTTGTAACACTTGAGTTTGTAGGCTATTGGGTAGAGCTGGGTCTTGGTGCTGAGATGAGGAGCTCTGTGAGACCTCACTCCAATGAATATTCCCTGGGGTCTGAGGTTCTCTGTTAGTCCAGTGTTTCAGACTTGGAACCCCACCGCAGGAGCTTCCACCCAACCCCGGGCTCGCCAGTCAAGATCCCACAAGCCCCGTGGGGTGACAGGAAGAAAAAAGAAAGAGCAATAACAAAGTAAAAAATAAAATTATACTAGGAAACTAACAGATATGTTAGAAAGAATGTAAAAATAAAAATATAGATGAATCAACCACCAGAAGGTACATCAGTACCACCATAGTAAAAAAGAGGAGGAGGGAAAAGGAGAAAAAAAAAAAAGGTGGGGCTTCCCTGGTGGTGCAGTGGTTGAGAGTCCGCCTGCCAATGCAGGGGACACAGGTTCATGCCCTGGTCCGGGAAGATCCCACATGCCGCTGAGCGGCTCTGCCCGTGAGCCATGGCCGCTGAGCCTGCGCGTCTGGAGCCTGTTGCTCCGCAACGGGAGAGGCCACAACAGTGAGAGGCCCGCGTATGGCAGGAAAAAAAAAAAAAAGGCGGAGGGCGGGAGGGGGAAGGCATTGGCTGTGGAGAGTGGGCCCTAAGCAAGGGGGAGGTTTGGGTGGTGGGCAGGGCCAATGCTCAGGACCCACAGCACTGGAAAAAGCCCTGGGGGCTGTGGGGGGTGGGGCTTAGGCTCAAGGAACTGAAGGGCCCCAGGTGTGCCCCCCACCCCTTGTCTCAGACGGCAGGGGATTATCTGGGAGCCCAGCAGGCTTCCTGGGCTTGAGTGGGCGGGTCAAACACCCTCCTCTCCTCTCCTGCTCCTCTGGTCTGGGGTCTGGGAGGGCCCCTACCGCCTCTGTCTCCTGATCTCCCCGGCGTCCCTCCTATGCCCGGAGGACCAATGCAGCCGGGCAGGGGTGTGAAGGGGGGCCTTGTAGGGCAGGGGACTGGCCTGGAAGCTTAGGAGCCTCCCAGTGCCCGAGTGAGGCCATTGCCCACCACTCCTCTCCCTCTCCTCCCCAAGGGCCCCTCCCACCTGCCACTCCTGATCTCCCTGGCCTCCCTCCTATGCCCCCAGGACGCACGTGGCCTGGTTGGGCTTTGGAGGGGGGAAACCAGCTTGGGAGCTCAGCAGGCTCCCCGGCCCGAGTGGGCCAGGCAGTTGCCCTATGCTCCTCGCTTGCTCTTCCCAGAGAGTCCCTCCCACCTGCCTCTCCTGATCTCCCCAGCCTCAGGGGCACCGATCTTGTCTGGCCTCTGCTTCTCCTCCCCACCTCGGTCCCCCTATGTTCTGCCGGTTCACTCTGGGGTTCCTCTTGTCTCCTTGGGGTTCAGAGTCCCCCAGCAGCAGCCAGCAGGCACCCTAGTTGTTGGGAGACACTAACTCCGCGTCTCCCACACCGCCATCTTGACTCCTGCCCTGATGTGTATCCTTTTAATGCACTGTTAGATTCAGTTTGCTGGTATTTTGTTGAGGAGTTTTGCATATATATATATATATATATATATATATATGTATATGTATATATATATATTCATCAGAGTATTAGAGACTATAATTTTCCTGTGGTGTCTTTATCATACTTTTGTATCAGAGAAATGCTGGCCTCATAAAATGAGTTAGGAAGTATTCCCTCCTGTTCCCTTTTCTGGAAGAGTTTGAGGTGTTAATTCTTAAGTGTTTGTAGTGTTCTTCAAGTCTTTCTTCTTTTTTAATGTAGCTGTTTACTGTAACATAGTTTCCTCTCAGCACTGCCCTTGCTGAATCCCATTAGTTTTGGTATGCTGTATCTTCATTTTCATTTGTCTTTAAGCTCTTTTAGCATGTTTAAGACAGTTGTTTGACAATGTCTTTGTCTAATAATTCCAGTCTGACCTTCCTTGGGAACTGTTTTAGTCAATGTATTTTATTCCTTTGAAGGGTCCATACTTTCCTATTTCTTTGAATGCCTTGTGATTTTTTTGTTGAAACTGGACATTTTACTATTATGATATATTACCTGTGGAAATCAGATTTTCCCCTTCCCCAAGGTTTGACTTTTTTTTTTTTTGAATTGTTGAAGGCTGTAGTGGTACATTTGTTTCATGAATTTACTCAACTGTTTTTCTAGAGAGCGTATTCCTTGCCATTGTAGTCACTGAAGACTGTTGCTTAACTTGCGTTCAGGTAGCGTTTTGACAGAGATTTCCTTGAATACCAAGAGCCAAAGAGAGAGAAAGAGAGAGAGAAAGCTTTCCTAGTCTTTGCAGATTGGCTCTGTGTTAAGACTCTCCTTCAGCATTTAGCTCGGCTTGCACTGAGCCTAAGGTTAAGCCCAAAGTGAAAGATTATGGTCTTCTTAGGTAGTTTTTGAGCAAGCACCTTACCCTGGGCAGGTGTGTGACTTTATAAATTCTCTGAAAATGTGAGTAAATTTTTTTTTTAATTTATTTTTGGCTGTGTTGGGTCTTCGTTGCTGCATGTGGGCTTTCTCTAGTTGCGGCGAGCAGGGGCTACTCTTCGTTGCGGTGCATGGGCTTCTCATTGGGGTGCCTTCTCTTGTGGAGCACAGGCTCTAGGTACTTGGGCTTCGGTAGTTGTGGCACGTGGGCTCAGTAATTGTGGCTTGTGGGCTCTAGAGTGCAGGCTCAGTAGTTGTGGCACACAGGCTTAGTTGCTCCGTGGCATGTGGGATCTTCCCAGACCAGGGCTCGAACCCATGTCCTCTGCATTGGCAGGTGGATTCTTAACCACTGCTCCACCAGGGAAGCTCAATGTGAGTGATTGTGAGTGTTCTAACTTTACAAGGAAACTCTCTCTCTAGCTTTTCATCCTAGGCATTAGGCAATCTGTTATCCCAGGCAGCTGTGGGTTGTTGGTTAGCCTTAACAAGCAGTGTTTTCAAGCAGTGCCCTCAGCTTTTCCAGCCTGTAGGAGACCCAAGTTAGGAAAAACAAGAGCCAAGCACCTTACATTAGTCCTTCAGGTAGCTCCCAGACAGGTTAAGAATAGATATACACTATCATTTGTGAATAAAATATGCTCTGCTCCCTTCAGAACTAAGGACCAGGATCCCACATTGGAAATGGGGACTGCAATTTTCATGACTATTGCCAGGCTGGGGGCGTCATGGGGCAAGGGCAAGTAAAATCACCACAAAGCTTTCCTAGTTTTTAAGTTTCCTTTTTCTTGATATCAACGATTGCTTGATTGCTGTAAACTTTTGACTGTTTTACAGAATTCTAACAAAGCTCTTACAGTTTGCTTGTTTTTCAGTGTTTCTGTCAGGGGAGCTTGGAGCTTCCTACTGTGTCATTTTGCTGATGTCACTTCTCTTTTTGGGTTTTAAACTACTAAGGACTTAGATGTGAAAGTGACTTTTATGTCAAGCCACATCAGAATTAGAGCTGTTGAATAAAAGTGACTTTTGAATGAGTTTATGTCAAAGTAGTGTCCTAGAACTTACTGTTTTTTTCCCCTGTGTTAGGCCTTCTCATTTCATGGATGTGTCATTACGTAGCTTCTCCCTTTGTTGTGACCTGTTAAGCCGGGTTTGCCACACAGCAGTAACTTACTGTAAGGATGCTTTAGAAAGTCATCTCCATGTTATTGTTGGTACACTTATACCCCTTGTGGATGATCAGATGGAGGTTCAGGAACAGGTAATTTCCCAAATCATATTCAAAATGATATTTGAAATACACTGATAAAGTATTGTTGGAAGGAGCTGAGTGTTTTATGTTTACTTGGTGTAATCAGTAATTTTAGTGGAAATATTCTTTGAAAAATGGTGGGGAAAACATTCTCAGTGAATTAATCCTTGTAATCATTTAATTACAGAGCACCTAGTAATTTTGATCTAATAAATAACCTGATTTCTATCTCTTACTTATGCTGAAGTGTAGAGGTAGTCAAAACTAAGGATGTAGTTCACTCCACTATGATGGTGTGTGAGGTATTACTTATATAAAATGTTTCAGTAGTATTGACAACTGTATACCTCAGTGTCCATCCTGTAATAAAGGCCTTACATATTTGTTGAATTATTTGAAAGCACAGAAACGGTAGTAGCTGGGTGCCTTAGAAGTGATTTTATCTGAACAAGTAGAGTTTTTATCATTTATTACAATGGCTTTGCTTGTTTTACTTTAAAATATAATTAATCCATTTCTCCTCATGATTTTTTCTTTTTTAATTATGTTTAGGTATTGGACTTGTTGAAATACTTAGTGATTGATAACAAGGATAATGAAAATCTCTATATCACGATTAAACTTTTAGATCCTTTTCCTGACCATGTTGTCTTTAGAGATTTGCGTATTACTCAGCAGAAAATCAAATACAGTAGAGGACCCTTTTCACTTTTGGAGGTAATAATTATTCCATAATATTGCTATTTTGTATTAGAGAGGTTGTACCTCTAATGCTCTGAAAGTAAACCAGTCTTTTTTAAAAATTGTGATTAAAGAAAACATAACATGAAATCTGTCCTCTTAGCAGATAAAAAACTGAATCTTAATATATACTCTTGCATTGCAGTAAAAGTGTAAATTCAAAATTTCTTGAAAAAGATCTGAATTTAAGTATTGAAGAAATATGATATAAAATATGCTTGATTTTCATACACATAAGATTCATTAATATCTCAAAATTACCATCTGACCCTCTGTCGGACAATATAATGTTTGAATTAGAAAAGATATGTAACTTTCTGAAGAGTTTTTCAAGTTTTAATCTTGTTTTAACCTTTATAAACTTCAAAACTATGTTCAGATAGATTTTTCTTTATAAATCTTATTATAATTTTAAAATTATACTCTACATTTGACTATAATCAGTATGAAAATGTGGTTAAATATATTAAGATAAAACTAGAGTTGCAATACTAAATAAATAGAAATTTAAGCTTTTCCCTCTGAGTATGCTATAACAATCTTAAACTCTAAATACTGTATCATGAGAGAGTCTATTGCAATTTAAATGTTTAAAACATTGTAGGGAAAAAAAAAGAAACATTGTAGGATTTGAAGTGAAATAAGTAATTTATTTCTACCTTGTTTGGTAGTAACAGTATTATGAATCAGTATCTGTAGAAGGCACTAATTTAAAAAAATTTTTGAGTTTTATTTTACAGACTCAACCAATACATGTCAAAAGCAAGTTACATTTTTAGCTGATTTTCTCTTTTAGGAAATTAACCATTTTCTCTCAGTAAATGTTTATGATGCACTTCCATTGACAAGGCTTGAAGGATTGAAGGATCTTCGAAGACAACTAGAGCAACATAAAGATCAGATGATGGATCTTATGAGAGCATCTCAGGGTACTAATTTTAATGACTTGGGTTATTTGTACCCATTTCTTTTTGAAAGAATCTTTTATAAATTCTTGCTCTTGGTTTAGTTGCCACAGATTTAGTTCATTTCAGACCCCCATCAGTTCTCATTTAGTTATGAAAGACTTCCTAAGTGGTCTCCTCACCTTGAACTACTCACATTTTATCCGTTCTCTGCACCTCTGCCAGAATGATTTCTCTAAGTCCAAATCATGTTATTTCACTGCTTAAAAAATGTTAACAATTTGCTACTGCCTAAAAGAAAAATTTGAATTCCTTAGAGCAGGCATGCAAGGTAATTTGTCTCTGCCTACTACCCCAATTTATTTAAATAAAAGAAATGTTATTTTTCATTTTATTTTAAACATCTTAGCCATGTATGTGTTTTGTGTGTATGTATATATGTATATATGTGTGTGTTTTGTATATATACACATATTTATATGTGTTTCTAGGTTTTTGGTTTTTTTACTTAAAAATCCATTTTATTTTGATTTGATTTGAGTTTAGATTATTATAGTACTGCACTTGGTGGAAACTTTCTGCTTATGTTTTGATTTTCGTCTTCCTGAGCTCATTGACTTCATGTTTCTATTGTGATATTTTTATCCTCAGTACTTTTAAAAATTAATTTTGTTTCGACCATCCAAAATCTGAGTTTCTAGTATATTTGTTCTTGAGATAGGTGTGTGTGTATATATATATATATATATATATATATATACATGAACCCCTCTTTCTATCTCCTGTTCTTGTGTGTTTGGGTATTTTATTGATCCAGACCAATATAGCCAATAGATGTTTATAGCTATTTAAATTTAAATGAATTAAAATTCAATAAAATATAAAGTTAAATTTCTTTGTTGTATTAGCACATGTCAAATTCTCTGTAGTAACATGTGGCTCGTGGCTGTCTTTGGACAGCACAGATTATAGACCATTTTCATCATTGCAGAAAGTTCTGTTGGACAGTGCTGGTCTATTCTATATGCAAGAGGCTAAAAAACCAGGCATACTCCCAAGGTTCCTTCTAGTTTAATGTTGAATGATTATGTGTTTCTAACTGTGATTTGGCTAAGGTATTGATTTCTCTGCACAACGTAAGATATTTTTCTCTCTCTGTCTGCCAAATATTGCTGATCATTTTTACATGATTCTCTTTGAGAAGAAAGTTCAGATACATTCATTCACCTCATATTTTTGAAATGCTCACAATTGAAAATCTTTTTTAAAAACTTTGTAAAAGTTTTCTAGTCACACAATTTAATACGTGAGCATAGTATAAAGAAAAGTGTTGTCTTCACTGTGGCTTAAACTAATATTTTCAAAACTGCTTCTAGATAACCCTCCAGATGGCGTAATGGTGAAGCTAGTTGTCAGCTTGTTGCAGTTATCCAAGATGGCAGTAAACCACACTGGTGAAAGAGAAGTTTTAGGTAAACTGTTTGGCTGAGTGAATATGAGTTTTTTTGTTTGGATGGTCATCTTCATAGCATTTTAAAAATCAGTAAAAGTTTGTTACTTGGAATATTGGGGAAATGTGAGAGGCTTTTTATATTTCTGTTTAGTTCAAGTCTCCCTAAGCAGCCCTCCTTTCATATTTTCCTCCCTTAGACATTCATATAAAGTAAAAAGTTAGTGATTAACACATGTGCATAACTACTAATTTGAAAATGCCTTGTGAATATTTAGGAAAGTCAGAAAAACCTATTTGTAGCATTAAGTTGCAAATAAATTGACTTCTGATACATTTTATAGATATAACTGACTGGTACTTAATATCTTTTTTATATAACAGAAAGAATGAGGACTTGGAGGGCTATATTAAGCTCAGATATTAAAACCATATTCAAGTCCTTTTCTGCCACCATTTGGGGGTAACCTAATGTAAGATAAATAGCCAGCATCATACCTGGTATAGGTGTTTTATATTTGGTGATCACAGGATGGAAAACATCACATGATTAAAGTCAGCTTGAAGTTGTCATGAAATAATTGCTTCAAATAAGAAAAGTGGGGGGCTTCCCTGGTGGCGTAGTGGTTGGGAGTCCACCTGCTGATGCAGGGGACATGGGTTCGTGCCCCGGTCCGGGAAGATCCCACATGCCGCGGAACGGCTGGGCCCATGAGCCATGGCCGCTAAGCCTGCACGTCCGGAGCCTGTGCTCCGCAACGGGAGAGGCCACAGCAGGGAGAGGCCCGCGTACCGCAAAAAAAAAAAAAAAAAAAAAAGAAAAGTGGGAGAAGTAAGAGATGCTTCACAGATTCTACTGTCTTTCAACAGAGTCTTCCTTAACTTCTCAGTGGAGGTCTAGTGTCTAGGGTACTTCTTTTCTTGTAAATTTTTTATAGAAATATATCTTACATATAGAAAAGTCACAAGTATATAACTTGAAGAATTTTTTGCAAAGAGAACACACCTGTGCATCTAGCACCCAGACCAAGAAACAGAACCTTATCAGTACTCTAGAACTTTCCTTTGACCAAGGAATTTACCCTTTGTCCATAGTAGCACTGCTTCTGGGGACAAATGTCACTTGCTACAGGAGGCCTAAGTGGCTTTCCTACATAGCATAAAATCTTAGTGATTAGTACCCACAGCTAATGTCATATTTAATGGTGAAAGACTGAATATCTTCCTCAGATCAGTAATGAACCAAAGTTGCCCACTGCTATTCACCATTGTACTGGAAGTTATAGCCAGAGCAATTGAACAAAAACTGGAAAGCAAAGAAGTAAAAACTATCTCTATTCACAGATGACATTCCTGTATATATATATATATAGAAAGTCCCAGAAAATCTATAGGAAAGTTACTATAAGAGAGGTAATAAATGAATTCAGCCAAGTTGCAGGATACAAGATCAACACACAAAATTCATTTGTGTTTCTGTACACCAGCAATGAACAATCTAAGAAGGAAATTCCATTCCATTTACAATTCCATTTATAATAGCATCTAAGAGAATTAAATACCTGGGATAATTTTAGTTAAGGAGGTGAAAGACTTGTGCACATTCTGTTTTTTAGAAGTAAGACACTAAGTACAGCCCACACTCAAGGGAAGAATTAGGCTCCACCTTTTGAAAGGAGGACTATCAAATAATTTTTTAACATGTTTTATTAAATTCCATCATGACTGGGAAAGAACATGAGGGGGCCCTCTGGCATCTTGAAAACATCTATCTTCATCTGGGTAGTGATAATACAGGTGGGAAAGAAATTGTGTTTTCCTGCATGTATGTGTATGTGTGTGTGTGTGAATTTTCACTGATCTGAGTATTTAAGATTTGTGGTCTTTATGTAATACCCCCCAGAAAATTGATACTCGCATACAGCTGCTATATTTAGACTTTCCTTAAAAACTACATTCTACTAGTTAATCTATCTCTTGGATATGATTTTATAGGGGAAAATATTGCCGACATGGATGATATGTAAAGGAAATGATACAGTATTTTGTAGCTTCTTTAATCTATTCAACATCTTTGAGAAAACACTTAAATCTTAACGGATGACAAAACATATTTTTGAAATTAGAAAATTCTGTTTTATGTATGATCTCTTAGCTATAACTTTACTGAAATGGAATTTCTATATATAGAGGCTGTTGGAAGCTGCTTGGGAGAAGTGGGTCCTATAGATTTCTCTACAATAGCTATACAATATAGTAAAGATACATCTTATACCAAGGCCCTTGAGTTATTTGAAGATAAAGAACTTCGGTGGACCTTCATAATGCTGACCTACCTGAATAATACACTGGTAGAAGATTGGTGAGTATTTAATGATACCTTGTACCTGATAGCACTTAATCTGACATTCAAGATTGATACCTCATATGAATTAGCATTTCCAATAACTAAAGCATTCTCCTTTTAGTTGCCATACTTTCAGTCTTAAATATTTAATGAATATCATTGTATTTTTATTAATTCACATAATTACTAAAACCCTACTGCTATATGCCAGGTAACTTGGTATAGTGATAGATATACCAGACAAGATCCATGTTAAATTTTAGTGAGAGTAGACTAGACAAACAATATGAAAACTACCAAGTGGTTCCACAGAAAACATTAAGATAGGGGAATGTAAATGGGGTTATTTTGTGCACTTGTCAGAATCAAAGGTGCCACTCTCCTCCTGGCTAGACATTTTGATCCTTTTAAATTAAGTCATAGAGCAGAAATTTTTTAATTCCAAAAGTCTTAAGCTAATCAGACAGGGCTTTCTTTTGCCCATTAATACATAAAATGCAAAACAAAATTGCAACAGATAGTATAATTTCAGCTTGCTGATTATGAGATTACTTTTTCTCCGTCTTCCACTCCCCATTTATCTATTTATTTGCAGTTATCTATTTATTATTTACAGATCCTTGAACAATGTGGGGGTTGGGATGCTTGACCCTTTGCTCAGTGGAAAATTCATGTATAATTATAGTTGGCCCTCCCTATCTGTGGTTCTTCATCCGAGGAGTCAACCAACTGCAGATTGTGTAGTACTGTAGTATTTACTGTTGAAAAAAATCCATGTATAAGTGGACCTGTACAGTTCAAATCCTCGTTGTTCAAGGGCCAGATGTATTTATTTTGATATATTTGAGCACCTTGTCACCACCATTTTTGGAGATTGGGTTCAAAGGATTTTTGCCCACAATTGGGCATCGTTTTAAGTAAATAGGTATTTTGCATCCGTTTCCCTATAACACCCCCCACTTCTCTTGGGGAATAAATGATTGGCAATAATGTCTACCTGCTCTGTTTTAATTGTTGATTTAATTTACACGTATCTTTCACTCTTTTGTTGTTGTTGTTACAGTAAAAAGGCTGGTATGATTTCCTTCCCAACTTTTTATTATAAAAATTTTCAAGCCTACAGCAAAATTGAAAGAATTTTACAGTAAATACCCATATACTCACCACCTAGAGTCTTCCTAGATTCTATTATTATCCTTGCTTTATCACATTTAGCCATCTTCCTATCCATTTATTAATCTATCTCATTTTTAAAAATGTATTTCAAATTATATCTAGCACAGCTTTTGAAGAGATTTTCCACAGAAAATTTGCAAGCAGTGTTTCATTTGTTACACAGTAATTTGCAATTGGTTTTTCTGAAGAAGGTGCACAGAAATATTAGTGTGACTTAAACTTGAGAACCACAGGGATAGGTACAATTTGTTTTTCATGTCTTTTTTGTAAGAGGAAGAAAATCATTACATGTTTGAGGGGCCTCAGGTATACAAAGGGAATGTTGACCAAGGAATTCCCAGAATCATGGAAGACTTCTCTGAGGAAGTGTCATCTAGCTGATCTGAGTGACCAGGAATCAGCTAGAAGTTGATTAGGGATAAAATATTGCATACAGGGAATAGCTAGAATGGAAATAAGCTTCATGTGTTTGAGGATCAGAAAAAGCCTGGTATGGAAGAAGATGGTATGAAATGAAATTAGAAAGGTAGGACTAATTCTGATTAAAAAATTTGGATTTTATTTGAAATATATAGTGAAGCCATGGAGTTTTAAGCAGAATAGTGCCATGATGCAACTTACATTTTGACTCTGACATATATGGCAAATGGCTTGTGATAGGGCAAAAGTGGAAACAGAAAGCTGATTATGAAACTATTGCAGTAGTCCAGAGGAGAAATCATGGTGACTTGGATAAGGGTGGCGGTAATGGAGATGAGATGGGACACGGATAGAACTAGGGTATGTTTTTAACATAGAGGCAGCAGGACGTGCTGATGAATTGGATGTGGAGGAGGGAAGGAAAGAAAGAGGAATGAGAGATGAATCCAAGTTTAGGGTTTATGCTTCTATGTCTTAAATTGAGACATAGAATTAAGCCTTTACTTGACAGCTCATCATCATTTATAGTATCAGGCTTTATAACATTTTTTGTCAGTTGTCATATTTTCAGTACTCTTGCATTGCAGCCCTCCTTTACTTAATTTTTTGCAAAAGAGAAGGACGTTCAATTTTTTATTAGAGGTTTTAGATGCCTTACCTAATGATTTCAACTAGCTTCTGGTCAGAATAAGTACATACTTACTGTTTGTTTAAAATTGTCCTAGACAATAATTTTATCATTTGTAGGGAAATTCCATTCTGTGTTACCCCAAATTATTTGTACCTCTTAGAGAAAATGGTATCAAAATATTTTTTTCTTGGGTGAATTAGTATTTTGTCATTCTTATTACTCATTCTTATTAGTCAATGTTATTCTGAAGTATTTGTTTTTATGAGTTTTTAATTTATAGTAGTCATAATATAAACTTTATTATATTGAATGAAGGGAATTGCTGTTACAGTGAGTAGTAACTCATGTTTACTCTAGGAATATTAAAAATCCTTTGGTAATTTTTGCTTTGATGTTATAGAATTTTATAGATGTAAAATTTCCTAATAAACGTAAACATTTCCTAATATAAATTTAAAATTTTAGATTTTAATTTTTTTCATTGGGAGTTGCTTAACATTCATCAAGATTAATAGTTGATATACTTTGTGGCATTTGAATTATATGTATTTTTCAGTGTCAAAGTGCGATCAGCAGCTGTTACCTGTTTGAAAAGCATTTTAGCCACAAAAACTGGACATAGTTTCTGGGAGATTTATAAGATGACAAGTGATCCCATGCTGATCTATCTACAGCCTTTTCGAACATCAAGGAAAAAGGTCTCTCAAATAATGAATGTTTATTGAATATCCACTATATCTAGAACAGTTCTATTTGCTGTGGGATATGAATATCATATTGCTTACTTACACTAACATTTAACCTTTCTTGGAAATAATTCTAGCTGTGCTTTTTGAATCGAAGGGATTTGTATTTTTAGTTATGGCAGTGTGGAAAAGCTGAGATAGGTAGCTTAAAGAAATAATGGTTGATTTGGGGGGATAGGAGGAGTTCTTTTTTATTTATTTATTTTTAATAGATCTTTATTGGAGTATAATTGCTTCACAATACTGTGTTAGTTTCTGTTGCACAACAAAGCGAATCAGCCATATGCATACACATGTCCCCATATTCCCTGGTAGGAGGAGTTCTTAATGACAGGCTTCTTTTCTTTAGGAGTGGAAAACCCTTACTTTGATCCCATGAAAGCCGTTTATAGATATTGTGATCAACAAGCAAGTGTTTATTTCCATAGCAAGTTAAAGTATCACAACCCTCTAGTGAAATTTAAGATGGCCTATAGATTTCTCCCTTTTCCATGTTGATATCATAACAAGGTTCCACTAAAGGTACTCTATGAAAGATACTTAAGAACTCTTACTTCTCCTTTATTTTGTTTAATATTTTCTTTTCATAAAGCAACTGAGAAATATGCTGTTAAGTTTTCACCAATTTAACTTCAGGGCTTACACCCATCGTTGAAATGATACTTTTAATGTATCGTAATATAATTTTGGTCTCAGTGAAATTATTGACAATATAAGCTATTAATAAAACTAATAGTATAACCTGTAAAACACTGTAGTTTTTTTTTTTTTTTTTTTTTTTTTTTTTTTTTTGTGGTACGCGGGCCTCTCACTGTTGTGGCCTCTCCCGTTGCGGAGCACAGGCTCTGGACGTGCAGGCTCAGCGGCCAGGGCTCATGGGCCCAGCCGTTCCGCAGCATGTGGGATCTTCCCGGACCGGGGCACGAACCCGTGTCCCCTGCATCGGCAGGCGGACTCTCAACCACTGCACCACCAGGGAAGCCCAACACTGTAGTTTTAACATTAAAATTTCATTTCATTCCAAAATCAACTCTGGTAGATTTGGTAGATTTGGTAGATTTGGACTGGATTCATACATGAGACGGATGAGGCAGAGAATCTGTGATTTATTTAACATACCGCTAGTGAGCTAAGAGTAGAAGTTAAGTTTCCTGGTGTTTAGATCAGTAATTTTTCACCAGATGACTCTGCCTCTCATAAACATAAATGTATTTTAATTTTAAAAGGTAACTGATGCCTCAAGATTTAGTTTTAAGCATATTTAGTTTTATTTGGAAACAGATTTGTTTATTCCTAGATATTTGTTTGGCATAGGAAAGGTAAAATGTATTTCTGGTTACCTTATTTACGTTTTCTCATCACTTTTTTCTAGTTTTTAGAAGTACCTAGACTTGACAAAGAAAATCCTTTAGAAGGCTTGGATGATACAAGCCTGTGGATTCCTCAAAGTGAAAATCATGACATTTGGTTAAAGACACTGACTTGTGCTTTTTTGAATAGTGGAGGCACAAAAAGTGAAGTTCTTCAGTTATTAAAGCCAATGTGTGAGGTAAGAAGATTAATTAGTCTGACTTATTCCCTTTCTAACTTTGTTTTTTTCATTTGTGCTTTCTCATAATAATTTTCTTTGATGGTCTCATTCCATTTCTCTTTTGTGTGAATGTTCATGGCCTGTATATAAAAAGAGTGCTTTGTACCGCACATCATCTTCATGCAGCGTCACCTATACTCAGCTGTTGTGAATCCATCCAACAGGGTGTCTTTATTTAGCCAGAACTTTATGCAGTAGGTTTCAGCTGCGGGGTAGCTACATATTGGATGCTGTGTTAGTTTCTGCTGTAGAGCAAAGTGAATCAGTTATACATATACATATATCCGCTCTTTTTCCCTGTGCTATACAGTAGGTCCTTACTAGTTATCTATTTTATATATAGTAGTGTGTGTATGTTAATCACAGTCTCCCAGTTTATGCCCCCCTCACTGTCTACCCTGGTAACCATAAGTTTGTTTTCTACGTCTGTGACTGTATTTCTGTTTTGTAAATAAGACCATTTGTACCATATTATTAGGTTCCACATATAAGTGATATATGTTATTTGTCTTTCTCTGACTGACTTCACTCAATATGACAATCTCTAGGTCCATCCATGTTGCTACTACAAATGGCATTATTTCGTTCTTTTTTATGGCTGAGAGTAATATTCCATTGTATATATGTACGACATCTTTTTTTATCCATTCCTCTGTTGATGGAAATTTAGGTTGCTTCCATGTCCTGGCTATTGTAAATAATGCTGCAGTGAACATTGGGGTGCATGAATTGTTTCAGATTATGGTTTTCTCTGGATATATGCCCAAGAGTGGGATTGCAGAATCATATGGTAGCTCTATTTTTAGTTTTTTAAGGAATCTCCGTACTGTTCTCCATAGTGGTTGTACCAATTTACATTCCCACCAGTAGTGTAAGAGGGTTCCCTTTTCTCCACACCCTCTCCAGCACTTATTGTTTGTACATTTTTTGATGATGGCCATTCTGACTGTTGTGAAGTGATACCTCATTGTAGTTTTAATTTGCATTTCTCTGATAATTAGTGATGTTAAGCATCTTTTCATATGCTTTTTGGCCATCTGTATGTCTTCTTTGGAGAAATGTCTATTTTGATATTTTGCTCATTTGTTTTGATTGAGTTGTTTGTTTTTTTGATATTGAGCTGTATGGCCTATTTGTATATTTTGGAGCATAATCCCTTGTCTGTTGCTTCATTTGCAAATATTTTCTCCCATTCTGTGGGTTGTCTTTTCATTTGTTTATGGTTTCTTTTGCTGTGCAAAAGCTAAAAGTTTAATTAGGTCCCATTTGTTTATTTTTGTTTTTATTTTCATTGCTCTAAGAAGTGGATCAAAAAAGATCTTGCTGTGATTTATGTCAGAGAGTGTTCTGCCTGTGTTTTCCTCTAAGAGTTTTATAGTATCTGGCCTTAACATTTAGGTCTTTAATCCATTTTGAGCTCATTTTTGTCTATGGTGTTAGAGAGTGTTTTAATTTCATTCTTTTACATGTAGCTGTCCAGTTTTCCCAGCACCACTTATTGAAGAGACTGTCTTCTCCATTGTATATTCTTGCCTCCCTTGTCATAGATTAGGTTACCATAGGTGTGTGGGTTTATCTCTGGACTTTCTATCCTGTTCCAGTGATCTCTATTCCTGTTTTTGTGCCAGTACCATGCTATTTTGATTACTGTAGCTTTGTAGTTTCATCTGAACTCAGGGAGCCTGATTTCTCCAGCTCTGTTTTTCATTCTCAAGATTGCTTTGGCTATTTGTGGCCTTTTGTGTTTCCATACAAATCGTAAAATTCTTTGTTCTAAATCTGTGAAAAATGCCGTTGGTAATTTGATAGAGATTGCACTGAATCTGTAGATTGCTTTTGGTAGTATAGTCATTTTGACAATATTGATTCTTCCAATCCAAGAGAATGGTATATCTCTCCATCTGTTTGTGTCATCTTTGATTTCTTTCATCAGTGTCTTATAGTTTTCTGAGTACAGGTCTTTTGCCTCCTTAGGTAGATTTATTCCTAGGTGTTTTGTTCTTTTTGATGCGATGGTAAATGGGATTGTTTCCTTGATTTTTCTTTCTGATCTTTTGTTGTTAGTGTGTAGGAATGCAAGAGATTTCTGTGTATTAATTTTGTACCCTGCAACTTTAACAAATTCATTGATTAGCTCTAGTAATTTTCTGATAGCATCTTTAGAGTTTTCTGTGTATAGTAGTGTCATGTCATCTGCAAACAGTGACAGTTTTACTTTTTCTTTTCCAATTTGGATTCCTTTTATTTCTTTTTCCTCTCTGATTGCCGTGGCTAGAACTTCCAGTACTGTGTTGAATAAGAGTGGTGAGAGTGGATATCCTTGTCTTGTTCCTGATCTTAAAGGAAATGCTTTCAGTTTTTCACCATTGAGAAAGATGTTTGCTGTGGGTTTGTCATATATGCCCTTTATTATGTTGAGGTAGGTTCCCTCTCCCTCTGGAGAGTTTTTATCCTAAATGGGTATTGCATTTTGTCGAAAGCTTTTTCTGCTTGAATTCTGTGACATGCTTTCTTGAGTGAGAAAAGAGGTGTGGTTGCAGTTAGCATTGCTTTTTTATTTTGGGGGGTACACTACCATTTATTTCATTAGAGAGTAATGGTACCTGCCAAGGTCAAACAAAAAGTTTATACGCTTTTATCAAATGTATCATCTAAAACAACACAATGTGATGATGCTCTAAGACTTTAAAAGCTAACCTAATTTATAATACTGTCAGGCATGATTCAACAGAAGTATGAAAACAAAATATCTGACTAGTTAAACATCTACCAATTAAAAATAACTGATAAAGAAGTGAATATTCTGGTAAAGTACCCTATTGAAAGCAGTTTGTAAAGCAGTCTTTGTTTCTACAGAGAAAATGTTAACAGTGAATAAATCATCACACTCTGCAGTACTACACTGCGTTCGTAGCAGTTCAGAGGACTTATTCCCTCAGCTGCTGCAAGTGCTACCAGCTAGAACACCCTTCAGAATTGCCTTGATAATAGAGAGTTGCTTCACCCCAAATCATACCCTATTCCCAGGGCAACCTGCATTCAATGACTGGTTGACCTTAGAGTATAAAAGCTCTGTACCATTACCACAACTCAAGACGGCTCTGAAGGTCCATCTCAGCTTCTGAGCTCCCCACAGGGTTGGTGGAGGCCTTTGTTGCTGCCGCACCATACCCCAGCTTTTCCCTCACTCCAGTCCTGCTTCTTCCTTCCCTTCCTTCTACAGACATTGATCCCAAGAGCACTCCCTAGTAAACCTTCTGCACTGCATGCTGATCCTGCCTCTGTCTGGCATACTGGCATAGAGTTAAGCACCCTAACATGTGTTTGATATAATAAATAACATCTTCTGAAAAAAAAAGTGAGTGATACCCTGGATACACACACAACTCATTTCTCATTAATGAATAAACCTAAGATTTTTTAAACACTTTTTTAAAAAATAAATTTATTTTATTTTATTATTTTTTTAATTTTTGGCTGTGTTGGGTCTTTGTTGCTGCGCACGGACCCTCTCCAACTGTGGCGAGCAGAGGCCACTCGTGGTCGCAGTGCGTGGGCTTCTCATTGTGGTGGCCTCTCCCTTTGCGGAGCATGGGCTCCAGGCATGTGGGCTTCAGCAGCTGCGGCACACAGGCTCAGCAGCTGTGGCTCATGGACTCCAGAGCGAAGCTCCATAGTTGTGGCACACAGGCTTAGTTGCTCAGTGGCATGTGGGATCCTCCCGGACCAAGGCTCGAACCCGTGTCCCCTGCATTGGCAGGTGGAGTCTTAACCGCTGCGCCACCGGGGAAGCCCGTAAGATTTTTAGAACATTCTGACTTTGGGCCAGAAGATAAAATGTTCCAAATATACATTCACACACACACACACACACACACACACACACACACACACACACACACAATTCTTAGTTACTTAACTTCTGTATTTCCAAAACTGTCTTTTTTTTTTTTTTTTTTTTTTTTTTTTGTGGTACCGCGGGCCTCTCACTGTTGTGGCCTTTCCCGTTGTGGAGCACAGGCTCCGGACGCGCAGGCTCAGCGGCCATGGCTCACGGGCCTAGCCGCTCTGTGGCATGCGGGATCTTCCTGGACTGGGGCACGAACCCGTGTCCCCTGCATCGGCAGGCAGACTCTCAACCACTGCACCCCCAGGGAAGCCCCAAAACTGGCTTTTTGATTTGTCTTTAGTTTGAAAGGGAAAAAGTGTACAATTGGTAATCAATAATCTGTTTCATGATGATGTCTTGGCAAAAATAAAGTTGAGTACTGTTTTAATGTATCACATATATTAAAGTAGTTTTCTATACTTTGGAGTATACCACAAATAAGTACCCTAATTTTATGCCCAGAAATTGGGGTTTATTAAAAAGTAAACATTTTAACATGACTGTTGTAGCTCTTCACTGAATGTAGAAAATGTTCAAAAATCAAATTTTCAGCTTTTCTCTTAAATTTTGATCCCCATTTTCCCTTTTATCAAATTAGAAAACTGCTTCTGTTATTAGTAACACTTTTCAACTGTGAAATTTTTTTTACAGTAGTGACATAATAATTTCATTTGTCAACAATGTCCTATTTTATTATATGCAAGTGGCCTAGACTGAAAATGAACACTTGCAGTGTAATGTATAGGTTTGATTTAGATATTCTAGGTTAGTTTGATTTTTTTTAACACTACCTAGTACACATGTTTTTTGTATGTTTTTTAGTAGTACATAGAGTTCATGACAGATTCATCTGTCATTTTTTAAAAAAGCTTAATATGTCAGTAACACGGAATGAAAATTTTAAGTAAAATATTTTTACTGAAAACTATTGACTGCATGTATTTGTATATTCTAGGTGAAAACTGACTTTTGTCAGACTGTGCTTCCATACTTGATCCATGACATTTTAATCCAAGATACAAATGAATCATGGAGAAATCTGCTTTCTACACACATTCAGGGATTTTTCACTAACTGTTTCAGACACTGCTCAGAAACAAGCCGATCCACAACTCCTGCAAATTTGGATTCAGGTATTCTGTTAAATTTCTCAAATTTATACTGTTAACATCTCAGTTCTAGGGAAAAATAGTTTGAATCCCATCAAGGCCCTTGTAGGCTTAATTCCATAACCTCTAATCATCTGTTCTCTTATCTGTATAATGGAGATAAAAGTTGTAGCAAGTTTTTGATGAGGTAATGTATGTAAAACAACTAGTATAATACTTGATGCATAGTATCCCTTCAGTAAATATTGACTACTATTAATGGAGTAACTAATTGAGCATTCAGTGTATGTCAAGCACCATGCTTGGCACTGGCAGTGAGGATGTGAGCAAGACATAGCCCTACATTCTTGTAACTGAAACAGCAGACAAATGAATGCAACCACATATTATAGGTACTGTGCTGGAGATGTGATGGAATTTTATATTAGAGCTATGGCCAACTCATTTTTTAAAAGCAACTTTTTTTTTAATAAAATCATATTTATTGTGGGAAATACAGAAAAATTGGCATAAATTAAACAAATTAAATTACCCATAATTCTGTCATCTAGGATAACTACAATTAACATTTGGTATATATACATCAGTTTTTTTTGTTGTTGTTGTTGTTGTTTTTGCGGTACACGGGCCTCTCACTGCTGTGGCCTCTCCCGTTGCAGAGTACAGGTTCCAGACACACAGGCCCAGCGGCCATGGCTCACGGGCCCAGCCGCTCCGCGGCATGTGGGATCCTCCCGGACCGGGGCACGAACCTGTGTCCCCTGCATCAGCAGGCGGACTCTCAACCACTGCGCCACCAGGGAAGCCCTATACATCAGTTTTTTAAAACAAAAATTGGATTATGCTTTACTTACTTTTATAACCTACTTTCCTTCCATGCTATATAAGAAGTATTTCCCATGCTAAGAGCTTATTGCAGGAAAAATTCAATGAGGAATTGGGTACACATAATACATATATACATAGTTGAGGGCTCATCATGGGTCAGATTTTCAAACCTAAATTTGAAAAAAGGAAAATGTTTACAGATTTGTAATGTTAACTTACTGTCTTTAATATTGATGCATATTACTAATGTATTTTATGTACAAACATAAAACTAGGTACAAATTCACTTACTGTACTTCAAGACCAACATAATTATAAGAATAATATTGAGTTAATGTGATATTTTGCTGCAACTAAATTATTCTTCCCAACCTTGACTATGGTTCCAGTCGCTTTGACATAGGTTGTGATTACTCGATTCTCCCGATTACTTCCTTTTACTTTCACTACCACAGCCTTTATATGACATGACCGTGTTGCCATTTAAACTTTACTTTGCTCTGTTTTATTATTTATGTATGTTCCTTTTTATTGGCTAACAGCATCCGGAGCCTGTGCTCCGCAACGGGAGAGGCCACAACAGTGAGGGGCCCGTGTACCGCAAAAAAAAAAAAAAAAAGTTTCTTAGGCTAGTTGGTGAGTTCTGTGTGGTCACAAATAGTCTTTGTTATATGGTTGTATATTGAGCCCCTAGTACACTGAAAAATCCTAGGTAAATAGTTTTTGAATCAATGAATTAGTCCTCTTCAGAAATAAAATATAAATTACTATTAAATTCTCAGTTTTTTTAAGCTCAATAGTTTCTTTTAAAAGAAAAAGAAATGCCATTAAATTCCATTTATTGAAAACCAATTTTGTGCTAGAACCTTATAGTGTAGAGGAAGACAGATACACAAACAAAAGGGAGAAAGTGCTTAAGCAAGTCTGCCTGGGACTGAGAGGACATAATCTTTGTTTGTCAGAGTCAGAGCACTTTTTCCGATGCCATTTGGATAAAAAATCACAAAGAACAATGCTTGCTGTTGTGGACTACATGAGGAGACAAAAGAGGTAATGTAACTATTGGTTCTTGAGTTGGGGATTTAGAAGTGTAACTTGTTATTGCTGGCTGAATTTTAACATGATTGTTTGAGGTAATGCTACTGCAAGTTGCTGTATTTAATATGTGTGATGCTTATATCTCCTTGTAATAATCCATATTTAGGGTGGCACTTTGGTGAAATCAATGTCAGGAACTCTGAATTCTTTTTCTTTTTCATGGAAGTATAGTTGATTTACAATATTGTGTTAGTTTCAGGTGTTCAGCAAAGTGATTCAGTTATATATATGTGGTTTTTTTCAGATTATTTTCCATTATGGGTTATTACAAAATAAATTACAAGATATTGAATACTATAGGAACTCTGACCCCCAACTGTAATAGTAACAGTGTTATCTTTGCTAAATCATTCACTCTTTGGGGGCTTTAGTTTATTTCATTTACAGTGAAGGAAAGGAGTAAGTGATTTTCCAGGTTACTTTTAGTTGCATTACTCCTCTTTTAACGTTTCTCTTTACATTTTGTCTCAGAAGTAGCTAGAGTTATGTAAAACCTCCTGCATGTATCTTTATTATGAAACATAAGTTTCTTTACTGTGTACCATGGTCTTCAAAATCTGTGGTTCTGTATAGTGATGCTGTGCTATAGCAGTGTTTATTTTCTCGATTGCTTTATAATATAGTATTTTTGTTCCTATTATTTCTCTTGAGATTTTTAACAGTGAGTGCAGGAATTTCTAGAGAGGATGGTCTGACTGATCTGTACTGCTCCAGAGTTGACCAGAACTTTGAAGAAATAATGTAGTAGGTCTAAATAATGTAATAGGTAGTCATTGATGTCTCATTAGTTTGTTTGGTGGTAGTGGCAGTGGTTGATAAAAATGGGAGGGAATGGTAGGGGAAAACTGAAAAATTGTTTAACCTAAATGCATTTACATCTTAAAAATTAATTCCTCTATATCCCCCTCATTCCTTTCCATCCCATTCTTAGAAAAAGAAGTGTTAGACCTTTCAGGGTTTGTGTTTCTGGTTAGAAAGTTACTGATTCACCATATTGTTTTGTATTGAATCCTCTTGTGAGAAAGCCCATAAGAAGCTTTAACTATAGCTGGAAACATGTCTTTTCTCAGTGTTGGGAGGCAGTTTCTGAATCATTCATTTTTTATTTATCATTGAGTTAGAGTGGTATTGACATTAGTTGGCCTTGGAGAAGATAACGTTTCTCAACATTAATTATTCCAAATACGACCTTGAGGAAGATTCCTTGAGAGAATATGACTGGGACATAGAATAAAGGGTAAGGACCTGAGTTCAGGTTCACATTTCTCAGAATAGCTACAATTAAATCTTGGCTATGTGATAGGCACTTTATTCACCAGCTTTGTAAGCATTATTTACTCATTACAACTATTCTCTGAGGTATATATTGTTTCTGCGTTTTACAAATGAAGAAATTGAGCCGTAAGAAGTTAAGTTGCCAAAATTCATACCGCTTGTAGTAGGTGAACCAGCTGGATTTGAACCTAGCTAGAGTATCCTACGCTAATACCAGTGCTCTTAACCACTACCATGTCACATCTCTGTAATGTTTGTTTTGAAAAAGATAATATCACGGTCCCTTCCAGTTATGGCCTATTGTTATCACAGTGGAAGATTTTTTTAAAATAACCTCAACCTAGGCAACTAAGAAGAAAATTAACAGCAATAGGAAAGACATGTAAATGTGTCTTAGAAGAAACAATATTTTCATTGAATTGGCCATTTAAAAACACTCGTGTATGTGTTATTAGTTATTCTGTATAGCCTATTCTTAGCCTATGATGGATGGATCCCTCAGTGGAGGCCGTATATGAACCCCAAATTTGTATGGGATGATGGTTCATAGCTTTCATCAGACTTTCTAAGAGGTGTGTGATCCAAAAAGAGTGACAGAGCTCTTCAGCTATGTTATGTTAGATGTTCATAGTTATATATTGGGGGTATGTTGTTTTTGGTTATTTAAATGTCATTTTCTTTCTAACTAGCATTTGCTACCATTGGATTCTATATCAACAAACTTTTCTTTTGGCATTTAAGTTAAAGAAATGGACATGACTAGATATTTAAATTTTTTTCTTTAGACCTTCTTCAGGAACAGTTTTTGATGATGCTTTCTGGCTGGAATTGAATTATCTAGAGGTTGCCAAGGTAGCTCAGTCTTGTGCTGCTCATTTTACAGCATTGCTCTATGCAGAAATCTATGCAGATAAGAAGAATATGGATGATCAAGAGAAAAGGTAATGGAATTTGGAAGTTTTTGTTTGTAAAATTGGTGTTGACATTGTTTCATTAAAGGTATATATTAAACATTTGTTTACTGCCACTCCCTTTAGATAGACGGTGTGTACCTTTTAAAGAGAAATGATAATAAAAATTTTTTAAAGAAATAAGCAATTCTCCTCTGAAATAGAGATGTTTATTACTTAAGAATTATAAAAATTATACACATAGCAAGCTCCTGGGGGACAGAGATCATCCTTATTTTCCTCTGTATTCCCCATAGTAACTAGCATTGGGAACTTAATATGTGATCAATAATTATTTTTCAAATGGTTGAGTGATTCTCTAACTTCAGTTAAATTGTTTACCACTATTCCCTCAGTTTATTGAAGATCCATTTTACTTATTGACTAGAAGTAATGTAACTGATTGCTTTCTGTGACTAAATCACTTTCATTATTTTATCTACCCGTATCTCTACTACTTTAATTTGCTTTTCCTCTGAGTTAGAACTTTCATAAAAGTCTAACAAGTATCTTAGATAATAGGGAAAAGCAAAAAATAGCCAGTAAAGTCGAAGAGTAAAAAATATACAGTTTATTGTCCCAACTGCCCTTCTCAAGTCTTTATTTCAAATAGCTTAGTGTTTATTTTTATAGTTATCCTCACTTTTCCACCACAAAATCACTCATATTACAAAATTAGCAAAGAGGTGTTATATTGATGCATTTCTTATGCTTGCTACTTATAATTTCTACTTTGGATTGTCATTAAGCTAGAAGCAGTATGGTTTTTGGACTGTGAAAAACCGGGAACCGGAATTCAGAGCCTAGTTCAAATATAATTAACTTAGTAGGCTTGGACTGATTTCTTAACTCTCTGGTTTGTTTTAATTTCTACTTTTCAATTGAAAACAATTAAAAATCTACAATATGTAGATCATTTGTATAATGTATAAGTGATATGTTTGTGATCACTTAGACTTTGTACAAAGACAAGTATTGATATGTTGTCCTTTAAGTATGAAATGAGTAAGAAATTGATTTTTGCCTACTCTTGATCTTAAAAATTTGGCAAAAATCCTGCATACTTAGTAGTAGTAGTTTTAATCTGAATGTGCCTCGGTATCTTGGTTCCATAGAATAATATTTTTTTACTAAGCAGGAGTGAATAACTGAGCTCTTATTTGAGTATAAATAAAAGCTCTTTTAATTTGAGGATAGGTGATCATATAGAATGTGGGACATTTTTGCAAAATTGCTTGTTTAACAAGCAGGAGTGCCTGGATTTTATTTTTGTTAACTTTAGGGGAAACGTGCTTGACAAATGGGGCTTGCTGTTTGCTTTGACAGTCTGATTTTGATTTTTTTTGTTTTCAGATGCCTGATGGGAAGGGGAGGGCAAACAGACATAAGGTGTATAGAGAGGGCAGGGAATGCTAATTTTCTTCAGTGACTCAGGTGAACTGAGACTTTTATAAATCTAAAGTGATCAGGAAAAGTATAAAAGCAAAATACAGATCAACAGTTTACAAACACTGTCAGGTCAGAAAACTGAATTGCTCTCTTAGGTTTTCTATTCGAGTTAGTTAATAGCAAAATGCCTTATACTAGGTATTCAGGAATACATACAGAGTTTTATTTGTTAACTTGCTCCTGAGAAAGTATGAGCCTTCAGAGTTAGTATCCATAATTTTTTTTAGAAAGAAATCAAAACTCCTTCAAACAGGATTTAGACAACCGGTCGTAGTTCACACCTCAGTCATTTTAGTATTCCTAATACCTAAGGCAATGCCTGACAGAAGTCCTGGCAACTCTGTCTTTTGCCTAGATGAATTATAGCTCTAGACTCAAAATCATAGACTCTAATACTGTTGTTCCTACTTTCCAAGTTTCTCCTCTAAAAACTTTTTTCTGCATAACTTACCAATAAGGAAAATATATGTAATATTTACATATAAAGGTTATAAAGCAAAATAGAATGTTGTCAGTGCCATTTTGTCAGTGGGTCTCCTCTATCCCACCCCTCTGTGCTCCTCCAAGAAGTAAATGTTATCTCATGTTTTGTGTTGCTCATTTGTTTGGATGATACTGTTTTCATGTGAGTAGAAACCCATAAATATAGTTTAGTTTCCTTATTTTTGAGCTTCCTAAGAAGTTATATGTGTGCTTTCCTACAACTTGTTTTTTTCCCTCAGTTTTTTGGTAAGATTTGTCTATGTTGTGTGTTGCTGTGGTTCATTAATTTGTCACTGCCACATAATATACCAGTGGGAGAATATGCCACAATTCATTTAACCATTCCCCTGTTAATGATAGGTGTAGAATTATTGGGTTGCAGGGTATACAAATTTTCAGTCTTATAAGATAGTACCAAATTGGTTTTTAAAGTGGTTATACCAACTCAGAAATGTAGTTCACAAAGAAGTGGCTCAGTAGGAAGCTTCACATTTGAAGAAGGGATTCAAACTACCACTATTTCTAGTTTGAGTAAAAAAAGTAAAGAAGAAACTGAAATAAGTATAGGTAAATAATAGAGATAACATCACTTATGATAGTATTTATTTTATACATTGGATTATTATTGTCATAAACATTGTATAGCTGGCATGGTTTTAGAATTGAAATTATTTATAGGACTGAGTATCATATGCATATGTAAAGCTGAGGCCTTGGAGTAGAGAAATTGAATTCTAATTCTGACTATCACTTACTAGTTTTATTACCTTGGTTGTTACTGATCCACTTCCTTTTTAACACTTAATATTATCAGACTTCTTAATTTTTGCCAAATTATCAAGTGTTAAGTGGTGTCTCAAGTACGGTCTTAATTTTGTGTGCCTGTGTTTATTAATGAGGTTAAACTTCAGGTAAAACCACTGACAGAACATTTAGGAATTGAACTCAGGGACTTCTCTATTTTTAAGCTCTGTAAATAAGCATATTTTGGCATATAGCCTTCCCATAAACGAGACTGTCATTCAAATGTAATTCTCATTCAAAGAATTAATACTAACAAATTCCTTTTCTATTCTAGGTCTAACTGGTATTGTTTTTAAATATAAATGGTTCATTATATTTTATTTGTAATCTTGTTAGTTTTTTCTGTCAAAGTGTATGGTATATGTATTAGCAAGCTTAAAAATAGTATATTCCCATTAAAAGAGGTGCTCTTGTGACAAACAGAAGTCTTACGTTTGAAGAAGGAAGCCAGAGTACAACTATTTCCAGTTTGAGTGAAAAAAGTAAGGAAGAAACTGGAATAAGTTTACAGGTAAATATTATTGACCTTATTATAAGTGATAATATTTGTTTTATACTTTGGACTATTATTTTGTTATAGAGACTGTATAGATTTGATTTGTCATTTGATTTTCAAACGGAAGTTACCTTTTTGGACTGTCATATACATAAATTCATGGTTTGAGGCTTAGGCCTTGGAGTAGACAAACTGGAGTTATAACCCTGACTCAACCACTTAGTTGTGTAATCTTGCACAAATGACTTGACCTTTCCAACCTTGAGTTCCTTTATCTGAAAGATGGAAGTAAAACCACCTATCTCATAGGGTGAATTTATACCATGTATTTTCTCCTACAGTACTCTGTTCATTTTCTTTGTAGCACTTAACATTTATAATTATATTTTTATTTGTTTACTTGTTTATTGTATGTCACATCTCAGGGCAGATTGCTTCTTCTGTAAATTTTTTAATGTTTACTCTTAAATTGACCCATTCTTACTGAATTTCTTTGGTCACCTAATTCCTCTAAAATGAGTTTCATCTTCTTCAGTTTGCTTAAACCTCTGATGTTCTCTTCTCTGTCTTTTGTTTGTCTCTCCTCCTACTTCTTGGAAAAAATAGGGGACATTATAGGAAGTCCCACCACATCCCACTGTCAAACATAGAAATCTCCCTGCATCTGCTGCCATTGTAATCTTTCCTCTTGTTAAAGCAGAGAAAGTTTCTCCTTCTGTCCTTCTTTCTGTGCTTTGTTTTTCATCAACTCTTTCTCAGGAACATTTTTTTTTATTGTGCCGTGCTCCTCAACATATTCAAATTTTCAAACTTATTAAAAACATTCTCCTTCAAACGGACACAAAATCATTTCCCTTTTCCCTATGTTCTCTTAAAGGTGACATCGTTTTTTTCTCCCTTTCCATCACAGCCAAACCTTGTGAAAAAGTTGTCTGTATTTCCTGTCTCCATTTCCTTCCTTTTACTCTCTCCACTGAATAGCACTTGCTAATGTCAGTCATAAACTTCATGTTACTAAGTCTAGCAGTCACCTTTCATTCAACTTCTTCCTTAATGTTTCATCAACACTTAACACCATCAACCATGCCTTACTTGAAATATGTTCTATCTACCTTTTTGATACCATTCTCCTGATTTTTCTGTTTCCTTTTTTTGCTTCTTTATAGTCTTAGCCTCTTTTCTGAGTTTCTGGAGTATCTCCTGTGCTTCAGGCACTGTTCTAGGCTTCTGAACTGAATGTTCCAATACTGAGGGCTTGATTTCACGTTTATGAATAGAAACAGTTTGATTAGAATACTAGAATTATGCCAATATCAATTTGTGTTTAGAAAGTATTTCCTGGAGCAAGTACCATTAAGATAATTAAATTGCTTGATCAATTTTCTCTGCAATGCAGTTTCTAATTTTCTGTTTTCTTTTTTGATTTTTGTTTTCTTTTTCCTTTTTTTCTTTCTGTTTTGTTTGCTATTTTAATTTTTATTTTACTGAGATTATTTTAAGCAGAATCAATTCTTTCCTGAGTAAATTTTATAACAGAGTTTTGAATCATCAAACCAATTCTTTATCCATATCACATTTTACCAATTATAACATAGTGCAACTTTGAATTTTCTCTCATAGAAAACCTTTACAGCTTGTATTTTTACCAAACTCAGTTTTCAAGAGTCAGACTTTGCAGGACTTCGTTTTCCCATGTCAGTTTTAGCTGTTGATGGGATTGTTTGCTTTTTTTTTTTTTTTTTTTTTTGCTTTTGTTTTTATGATTATTTCTGCATGTGTTAGAAGCCTGTTAGGTTGGGATTTATTTCTTATCTAATTCACTAAATCGTGAGCAATTCTTGTCAGGTAGTCCACAGTCATTCTGTTGTGTGGGATCAGTTTGTTGTGTTGCTGATCAGTATCTTTAGTATATATTTAAATATCATTATATTTTACTTTTATAACATAACATGTAGAGTTGGGAGTTACATGATGGTAATGATATAATTTCAAATTTGCTGAATTCATAAACTGATAGTTTTCCCCTCCAATTTTTGTTGTTTCCATGTTTTTAGGATCTGCTCTTAGAAATCTACAGAAGTATAGGAGAGCCAGATAGTCTTTATGGTTGTGGTGGAGGGAAAATATTACAACCCCTTACTAGGTAAATTGCTTTTTTATAGATAATGCTATAGTCATTCTGTTATGAAAGAAGTTACATGTATGTAAAACTCAAAAGCATTTAAAAACTCTTTTCTTATAGACTGCGAACATATGAACATGAAGCAATGTGGGGGAAAGCCCTAGTAACATATGACCTTGAGACAGCAATCTCCTCCTCAACTCGCCAGGCAGGAATAATCCAGGTACTTTTTTTTCTGCTTTGGTAAAGCACTACTAGTGTAGTGCTCAGATTATTTCAGTATGTCAGTGGAATATTTACACAACCAGATAAACTGTAGAGGTAAGACTGAAGGTTCTTTTTTAGGCACTGGGATTAAAATACAGAGGGATACACAGGTAAATTGGAAAAGTCACTGACCTGAAAGATAGTGTAGATTTGTTGGTCATAATCTTCTTAGCTAACAGTAGAAGACATTTCTTGACTGTGTACAATGTGCCCGGTAGTGAATTAAGTCCTTTGTATGGAAAACCTCATGTAAACTATTTCTCATAGCTTGCACTAGAGTTTGTCCCAGGAGTTGTCATTTCTGTTACTGGCTAATATTCCTTAGCCACTCTTTTATCCAATATCAGAACCCTTTGAGCTCTATCTTTGTGTTTTAGGTTGGCATTTTAAGTGATGTTGTGAACTACTAAAATTGTGAAAGTTACCTTTTTTTTTTTTTAAAGAAGATGTTGGGGGTAGGAGTTTATTTTTTATTTTTTTGCTGTGTTGGGTCTTCGTTTCTGTGCGAGGGCTTTCTCCAGTTGTGGCAAGCAGGGGCCACTCTTCATCGCAGTGTGCGGGCCTCTCACTATCGCGGCCTCTCTTGTTGCGGAGCACAGGCTCCAGACGCTCAGGCTCAGTAGTTGTGGCTCACGGGCCCAGTTGCTCCGCGGCACGTGGGATCCTCCCAGACCAGGGCTCAAACCCATGTCCCCTGCACTAGCAGGCAGACTCTCAACCGCTGTGCCACCAGGGAAGCCCGAAAGTTACTTTTTATGTTTGCTGTTTTTTGTATCTCTAGTATTCTGTTATTTTTTATTCCTTTTTTTTTTTTAACTCCTGCATAGGCCTTGCAGAATTTGGGACTCTGCCATATCCTTTCCGTCTATTTAAGGGGATTAGATCATGAAAATAAAGAGTGGTGTGCTGAACTACAGGAACTTCATTACCAAGTAGCATGGAGGAATATGCAGTGGGACCACTGCATTTCTGTCAAGTAAGAAGAATTCAGACATTTTTAATTGCCATTTCTCTAGCTATGAATAATGAACTGTTTTTATCTTGCTCTATGAATGTAGCAGGTGTTATGTTTTCATGTTTTGTAGATGCTGTAAGCTAAATGCTTAAATAATACAGCAGTATGCAGTAAGTGTACGTAAGGCTGAATTTCACTCTCTTCTTATATTAGGGCACCTCCACCCTCAAGATATTTTTGAAAATAGAAATATAAAAATTATTTTCTCATGAGAATCTTATTCACTTATTGTTTATAAATCCAAAGAGAAATATAGGCGTTTCCCTTCTCACTTCCTGCTGCAAACGTTTTATTTAGTTAGATGGCACTTTTATTGGCTGGATGGTACACGAAAGACTGTTTATCTTTATTTGTGAAATATTTTCTTTTATTAAAAAAAACACTGCTAAATCACTAGCACGAGAAGAAAACGTTTATAACCTACATATACCATCACCATGTGTTCTGAATGAAAAGCCAAACACCTAATCTAATAAAAGATTATGTATTTATGTAAAAAGTCTTTTGATGATATAAACAAAAAAATTAAATCATATTCATTGTATGTTTAATCACTTTCATAGAAAAAAATTTCATTAATTAGAATGTCTTTCAGATTTCAAACTGTTAGATTGCTGTAAAATTAGAGATATTTTAAAAACATTTTACTCTGTGAGCTGATTCCTACTTGTCTCTGTGAATCTCCATATTCTGTTTTTCCCCTTGCATACTATATTTCAGCCACATAGCACTTCTCCCATGTTTTTTTCCATCAAGCCAGGCTGTTTTTATATCTTCTTTTTCCCCTGTTACCGTGAAGGTGGCTACTTGTCATTCAGACTGTAGTTTAATAATGTGACATATTCAGATACATCTTTTCTGACTGTCCATTCTAAAATAGCCACCCAGTCATTCTGTTTTGTTACCCTATTTTACTTTCCTATATGTCCTTTGTCACTGTCTGGTATTTTTCTTATTTATTGTCCATCTGCAAACCAGAACATAAACTCCATGAGAATGGGGACCTGATCTGACTTGTCCACTAATGGATTCCCTGCATCTAGAACCTGGTGACTAGTGCCTGGCACGTAGTAGGTGTTCATCAAATAAATAAATGAGAATATAACATGTTTAGAGCCAGGAAAAATATCTGAGAAATTCACTTTTTTCTGCTTGAAGAATTTAAATGATCCACAAAATTCTTTGTAATTCTTAACCAAGTTTTCTAGAAATGCATTTTTTAAAATGGAGATATCTTAATTTTAGTTTAAAATTTTGCCTTTTGGTGAAGCTGTTTATGCATACATATCTTAGGAGTCTCTATTTTTAAATGTCTTTTTCTTTTATTTTTAAAATTATTTCACAGCAAAGGAATAGAAGGAACCAGTTACCATGAATCATTGTATAATGCTCTGCAGTCTCTAAGAGATGGGGAATTCTCCACTTTTTATGAAAGTCTCAAATATGCCAGGTATTATAAAAAGAAAGAGTTACTGTATTTTAATATTTAATGTCATGGCTTCTTTTCTGAAAACATGAAGAATAATTTCAACACAAGGATTTGCACTGGTGAAGGAGTAAGACCTGGTGGCTGTGGTCAGGTTGTTTCCTTGTCATTCCCTTTTCCTCCTTTAAAAAAATTCCCTGTGTAATTAATAATTCATACTAGTCAGTGTTGAAACTCAAAGTAGTGCAAAAGTGGGAGGAAATATTCAACAATTAAGAATTTCATAGCTTTTACATATCTGAGAAATGAGTGCTCAGATGAATTTTATCTGTTGCAAGCATGTTTTCATAAGAATTATGAGTATTCTTGTCTTAATAATTGTATTCTGTACTTCATATTTTAAATTTTGTACAAAAGAATTCTTTAATACACACTTGATATGTATATGTACACATATATATACACACAAATGTTTATATATATATAACCAATGTTACGTTTTAAGTTTTTGTTTTAGATGTAAGAGCATGCTCATATGTTAGGTACTTACATAAAGTGTAAGTTATTTTTTTCTTATGTAATAACTTTTTCTTTGCTTATGTGGTTCAGATATATTCTACCTTTAAAAATAAAATTCCCTTTGGGAGCCCTGATCAATTATTTACGCAGAACACTGAAGAAGGTCTTCTTGTTTCCCATTCCTTTGTTTTCTTCCAGGACCAGTGTACTGAGAATTTTAATCTTTTCTCCTCTAGTAGTTATGTGTCATTTACCTCTTTTAACGTTTAGTGTCCTTTTTATAAAATGGTGACTAATGGTCAATTCTTAAAGGCTTGTTATGAGGTACAAATGAGATAATGCACAACAAAGAACTTAACTCTAACAGGCTAAACAAATGTAACACATTTTTTTGTTTAACAGTATTTGTGATCTAATAAATCCTGTACTTTATTACAGAAGTAATACTTGCTACCATTTAAGTGCTTATCATGTGGTGGCCACTTTGTTAGGCTTTTTCTGTATGTATTCTTTAATTTTCAACTGGAAGTGAAAAAACTGGGTTCAGAGGAATCCAGTAATGTGCCCAAAGCTATTCAGCTATTACTGGCAAAACTGGGATTTAGATTAGGTCTGTACAATTCCAAGGCTTACTTTGTTTCCACTACCTTATGCTTGTGCTTGTGAGTGTTAGTATTATTAGATCCACACCAAGGCCTATAATGGGAAGTCAACTTTTATCTTCCTGCAAACCTCTTCTTAGTTTTTAAGTTTCTTGTCTTTTCTGCCACTAGAGTTAAAGAAGTGGAAGAGTTGTGTAAGGGCAGTCTTGAGTCTGTGTATTCCCTCTACCCTACACTTAGCAGATTGCAGGCCATCGGAGAGCTCGAAAACATTGGGGAGCTTTTCTCAAGGTATGTGATTGAAATGACTGTGTATTCCAAAGTATAACCTTTCTGTTACCAATAGGGACTTTAAAAAATAAAAACTATATAGAGATCAGCTATAGGTTTATTTCAATATCTTTTATCAAGATATAAGTAAATTAACCTAATGAACTGTGATCTTGTTAAAATAAACATTTTCAAAAATATTCATTGTAAAAATTCAGGTTATTAAAATTTAACTTATTGTGTTTTTCTCTTTACAACTTTTTCCCTGTTCAACCCTAGATGAAATTGTTTCCTCATGTTTTTTACCATAGCACATTATACTCCATTCTGTTTTAGTATCACATTGCATTAGTGTCATTTTATGTATACTCTGCCATGCTGTACTAGAAGCTCCCTAAAAATAGGGCTTATTTATTCTTGAATCCTTTGTATCCCTAGTGCTTTTTCCTGGTGACCAATTCTTAGTAAACAGTCAATGTTAATGAATATGGAGTGTTTAGGGGAGATTGCCTCTTATAATGGTGAAAAGGAAGTGATCTCACTTTCCAGTGTTCCTGGATCTTTCTCTGCTAGGGAGTTATAAGGAAGAAAGGGAAAGTTTGATGAGCTGGTACCAAATACCTATGCTCTAGGACAGCAGTTCGCAAAGTGTGGTGTAGAGATCCTGGTTTTCCCAAGATCCATTCAGGAGTTCATGAAATCAAAACTGTTCTTACAAAATGTTATCTGGTGTTTTTGCTCTCATTCTCTCATGAGGTATAGTGAAGTTTTGGTGAGGTATCAGAGAATAGCCACAATTATCTGAAGACTATGAAAATACTCCTCCCTTTTCCAACTATGTATCTGTATGAAGCTAGATTTTCTTCATATACTTCAGCCAAACATTATAGCACAGCAAACCAAATGCAGAAGCAAAGATGAGAATTTAACTGTCTCCATTAAGCCAGACATCAAAGAGGTTTGCATAAATGTGAAACAGTGCTCTTCTCACTAAATTTGTTTTGTTTTGGGAAGGATAGTTATTTTTTTATAAAAAATGTTATTTATGATATATGATATATAGTCGATTTACTATTGTTATTTTAAAATAAATTTATACATGTTAGATTTTTCTCAGTTTTAGTTTCTAATAAGGTAAATATTAATAGGTATAATCCAATAAACAAAAACTCTTTGGGGGTCTTCAATAATTTGTAAGAGTTTAAAGCATTCCTGAGATTAGAAAATTTGAGACCTGCTGCTCTAGGATCATTTTGGGAGGAATTAAAGTTTTGGTTCCTGTGAATTTATGTTACTGTTTCCTTCTTTATCAAGCAACTAAAAGAGCTTTCATTTCCTAGTCATCACCTTATCATCTTAGTCTCCTTGCTTCATCTTAATTTCTCTTCATATAGTAGGCCTAAAGGATTGGACAGTATTGCTTAGTTGAACATCTGGGAAGCACTCTGTTCATATAAACTAATTGTACAATATGCATTTTCTCTTCCTTTAATAAATAGTATTGGTATGTGAAACCTTTACCAGGTGCCAGCATTTCCTTCATTGGATTGTTCTTTCTTTAACAGCTGCCATTTTGCATAGAGTCATGCCCTGTGCGTGGCAGGCACAGTAGATAATGAGTTTATTACATTTCCTTGCTGACTGTCCTTTTTACCACAGGGAACATTGGAGCTGGACAAGAGGTATAGATGTTCTGAATGACAGGCCTGATGAATGTGTTCTCATTTCAGAAGAATGTTAGTTTAGAAGTGTTGCTTTTTGTGAGGTTGAAGAGTATTTTTAAGAAAATCTTGAAAGTATCATCTATAAAAATATTAAATCACTATGCTGTATACCTGAAACTAACATAAACAATACTTCAATTTAAACAAAGAAAGGAAAAAATCTTTAAGTGTTCATCATGTGTTGGGTTCTCTGCTGACTGACCCTCAGAGGTCTGACCATATTGTAGGTTTCTAAACTATGGTCCTTATTTTGGATTATTTTAGAAGTTCCAGTCATGTTACTGCAAAAATTCCTTTGTGTCCTGCCCCCCAGAGGTGCTTTGTGACCACCTAGAGGGGTGGGATAGGGAGGATGGGAGGGAGATGTAAGAGGGAGGAGGTATGGGGATATATGTATATGTGTAGCTGATTCACTTTGTTATAAAGCAGAAACTAACACAACATTGTAAAGCAATTATACTCCAATAAAGATGTTAAAAAAAAAAGAGAAAATGTTGGACCAGGTCAAGGGTAGGTAAACTATAGCCCGCGGGCCAAATCCGGCCCACTGCCTGTATTTGTCAATTAAAAAAAAAAAAATTCCTTTGTGTTTATTAAATCTTAAGTTTCAGAACCTGCATATTAGCAGGGTTTTTTGTGGTTTTTTTTCATTTCTCTTATGTGAATTCTGTGATTTGGCTTTCAGATCAATAACAGATAGGCAGCCCTCTGAAGTATACATTAAGTGGTGGAAACATTCCCAGCTTCTCAAAGACAGTGATTTTAGTTTTCAGGAGCCTATAATGGCTCTACGCACAGTCATTTTGGAGATCTTGATGGAAAAGGAAATGGAAAACTCGCAAAGAGAGTGTCTTAAGGATATTCTCACCAAGCATCTTGTAGAACTATCTGTATTAGCCCGAACTTTCAAGAACACTCAGGTAATCAGATTTAAGACTATGTCATCTCACCTCTTGACCTTGCCTTTTATTACCCAGAAAATAGAAAGCATAAGTAAAAAAGAAATGTCATTGAGAGACAGAGATTGCTATTAAAACATTGTATAGCATAATTGTTTAAGATTTCCCATTTTGGAATTAGACCTGAGTTTGAGCCTTGAACAAGGTACTCACCGTCTCTAAACCTCAATTGCCTGGTTAAAAAAATGAGAAGCTACCTAACTTACTCATTGTATTTATAACAAGTCAGCAATTTTATATACTGTGTATAAACACACATAATTAGATAGATGTCTTTATATAAAGAGAAAAACAGATAGGCCGACATCGGGCCTGGGGAAGGCAATCAGAGATGCACTTAAGACAGTCCTGACAAATAGTCAAGTCCTCAGTGAATGGTAGTAACTGCTTTTATTAGTAATAGTAGTGGTAGTATTAGTAATAGTAAAAGTATTTATTCTTATTTGTCATTTTCATTTCAGCTTCCTGAAAGGGCAATATTTCAAATTAAACAGTATAATTCAGCTAGTTGTGGAGTCTCTGAGTGGCAGCTGGAGGAAGCACAAGTATTCTGGGCAAAAAAGGAACAGAGTCTTGCCCTGAGTATTCTCAAGCAAATGATCAAGAAGCTGGGTGCCAGTTGTACAGAGGTTCACTTTTTTTCTATTGGCCAAATTCGTATTTTACTGTTATAAGAAAAATGACTGTGCATTAAAATATTTAAAATAAAATTTAAAGTAATTACCAATTTTATTAAAACTTTTATTAAAGCTTTGACCCATGAACAAGAAATTGTTAAAAGGAGTCTTGAAAATTAATATTTGTAAAAGAAGTTTAGAAAGTATTCATTTTTCCTATTTATAGCATTTCTATCAGTCCATCTTGTTGTCGGTTAATCTATCCCAGTGATAAGCCTCAGTTTTTTAAACTTTCTACAGTATGTGGGAAACAAAGATGAAATAGATACTATAAATTTGAAATGACAAAAAAAATGGAAGAGGAAATGCATAAGAGAACAAAACTTTTAGAAAAAAGCAAGTTGGAATAATTGGGTTGCTAATCCAAATACCTTGAAAACATCATGTCTAATATTTTATCTAACATTACCTATATTAGTTATTGTAAACTTGGTTGCTTCTTCAACTCTATCTCCAGCATATGATGGGCAAAGTAGCAGCATTTGTAGGAATCATGAAGTGTTTTAAAGGTTTGGACACAATGATGTCCCTCTGACATAAACCTACTTGGTGAATATCAACTTTTTGTACTTTTGGATAATGGAAACTTATATTACATCCTCCATCACTAGAGAATTCATCATTATACCAAAGCCCTGGGAACTCATATGATATGTTGTTTAAATATTGCTTAACAATGTGGACTCCAGGGAGTTACCTACTCTCTTTGACCTAAGTTGTAGTTTTCTAATTAAGGATAACAATAGTACTTATTTCATAGGGTTCTTTTAAGGATTAAATGAGTTACTATACATAAAGCTGGTAGAAATGCCTAGCATATGAAAGTACTCAATAAATGTGAGTTGCTTTGATAATAGTAATAATAATAAACAGTAGAGAATGATTATTTTATAAACCTACATATTTGGAATTATTAAAATAGTTGTAAGGTAAAAGCAAATGAGGAAAGACATTTTTAACCTGCTTTTTTCCCCCTACGTGGATGATTCTTTTATATAGTCATGATAATGCATTACATTTTAAGATTTTGCTTTCATATACAGAATGATCCCAACCTAAAACTAATATACACAGAATGTCTGAGGGTTTGTGGCACCTGGTTAGCAGAAACTTGCTTAGAAAATCCTGCAGTCATCATGCAGACCTATCTAGAAAAGGTAAGATTTTTGAGCAGCCCTTAAGAGAGTTGTTTAGCTTGAACAAATTTGATGTTTTTATTGGGATCAGATGTATTTCAAAGGCAAATAAAAGCATGACTTCACTTTTCTAAATATTATTACTGTTGTAGCTCTGTATACTCTTCAGGGCAGAATGAAACAATGTTACAAAAGAAGGAGCATGTTTGGAAAGTAAGCCCAAATGTGTCTTCTCTTTACCCCCATCACCAGCTACTCTTTAAACTACTCTGGTTCTAAGCTAAGTTTCTGATAATTTCTCCACTTAACTTATTTGTAAAAATAGGTGATTAAGTAATATGCAAGTCAACCTTTATTATTCATTTGTAGCCCAACACTACAAGTAGGACTGGGACTCCAGTGCTACTACTGCTTTTGACCTTCCTGTTTCTCCCTCTTATTTAGTTTAGCTAATTTTAGAAATAGCTACTTCACTAAATAAATGAACATGAAAAGCATAATATGATTTTTTTTTTTTTTTTTTTTTGCGGTACACGGGCCTCTCACTGTTGTGGCCTCTCCCGTTGCAGAGCACAGGCTCCAATGTGCAGGCTCAGCGACCATGGCTCACGGGCCCAGCCGCTCCATAGCATGTGGGATCTCCCAGACCGGGGCACGAACCCGTGTCCCCCTGCATCGGCAGGCAGACTCTCAACCACTGCGCCACCAGGGAAGCCCCCCATAATATGATTTTTTAAAAATTTTATAGAACTTTTTGTTTTTGCACTGTTCTTTGCAAATATTAGCTATTTTGGTTATTTCTGCCATGTCAAAGTTGTTTTGCAAAGTCAAGAAAATACTGTACTTCATATAATTTAGCTTATATACATATATATAAATTAAACTTTAGTGTGGATATTTCTTTGATCTGAGTAATTCTTTAGATGTATTTAGTATCTGTAAATATAATATAAATGTATTGTTTTTTCTTGAAGGCAGTGGAAGTTGCTGGAAATTATGATGGAGAAAGCAATGATGGGCTCAGAAATGGAAAAATGAAGGCATTTCTCTCATTAGCACGGTTCTCAGATACTCAGTACCAAAGAATTGAAAACTACATGAAATCGTCAGAATTTGAAAACAAGCAAGCTCTCCTGAAAAGAGCTAAAGAGGAAGTTGGCCTTCTTAGGGAACATAAAATTCAGACCAACAGGTAACTAGGGGTCTACAAGTGACACGATATACAGATATACAGTATATATACAGGTATAGAGAACCAGATAAGAATTCATGCTCTGGTTCTAAGCTAATTGTAAAGTATATTGATGTTAGCTTCTTGTTTTGCTTTTTTTAGTTTGTTTGTTGGTATCATAGTTGAAGAAGAGATAGGTGTTGAAATTAAATAGGAGTTACCTATTTTGATGTCATTAAATCCTTTATTCAAACCTGCTTTTGGTCTATATATTTTAGTGTAAGTAGAGAATAACATTCACGAAATACCTTGGATAGAGTCCACTTTGTCTTTGGTTGCCTAAGATAGCTTTTGAGTTGCACAAACTTACTTTAAGACAAAACTAAGTTTGTTCCCCTTTATAATTCTTAGAATTTTGCTTTTTCTCCTAAGGTGGACACCAGATTTTTTATTTACTTTGTATATCTTATATGATGTTGTAGTTCTATAAAATTTGATGGCTTTTGTGTTTTGCTTTAATTATCCAATGTAAGGTACACAGTAAAGGTTCAGCGAGAGCTGGAGTTGGATGAATGTGCACTCCATGCATTGAAAGAAGATCGTAAACGTTTCTTATGTAAGGCAGTTGAAAATTACATCAATTGCTTATTAAGTGGAGAAGGGCATGATACGTGGATATTCCGTCTTTGTTCCCTCTGGCTTGAAAATTCTGGAGTTTCTGAAGTCAATGGCATGATGAAGGCAAGTGTTCTTTTTCAACCCAATATTCTAGCCTGTGCTTTAAAAGTTTAGACATAAGCCCCTCAATGTCATGGATTTTGTATACTTGTATACTTTGTATACTTGTATCCTTGGCACTTGGTTCAGGGCTCTACACGTAGGTACTTAATTAGCTCTAATGATGTAGGTTTATGTGGCTATGAGAGAATTTAGGTCAGTCTTTTCCTATATCTTTGCAATCACCATAGGAAAGTACTCAGAATGCTAGACTGGGAGATTTAGAAAGCAATTAAAAATGATGTGATCACAGGTTGGGTATTTTTCCCCTGCTTTAATTCTTTTCTGGGATTTTTTATGGTAAATTATTTTTGTAAATGGAAAAAAAGATTTTAAGAAAACATTAAAGTGGCAGTATTTTGTAAATTTTTATTTAAAAAATCTTAGGTTTTATTGATGACACCTAATATTAAAGTTATGTTGGCAAGGTATATATTGGCAATCAGTTTGAAGCTTAGAAGTAAAATGGTTCTTCTGGCTGAAGAGAATGATACAACCAACCTCTGCTACTAATGTACATTAAATCCTGTTACTTTTAGCATGTAGGGAAAAATAGTTATTCCCTGTTATTCACACTGACTTCTCAGGAGTCAAGATTACAATAGTCCTTAGATCCACATTTGTTCTCCTTGGATTCACTGGAATATGAGCAGTGCCAAGTATTCCAGTTCTGAATACAGTTTGATTTAGGTTCAAATATTATGACTGACCAGTGAATCAATCTAGACTTTAAGATAAATGATAAGTAAAAATATGTGATTAGTGAAATTTTATTTAATATCTGCTAGATGATTACACTAGTAGAGGAGCATTTTCTTAGAATAATTTATTTGCTTAGTTGTGAGACTATTTGAAATGCATTGTTTTTTTAATTTTGTGTTCTTTTTAATGGTAGAGAGATGGAATGAAGATTCCATCATATAAATTTTTGCCTCTTATGTACCAATTGGCTGCTAGAATGGGGACTAAGATGATGGGAGGCCTAGGATTTCATGAAGTCCTCAATAATGTAAGTAAACCTGAAAATCAAACCACAGTTGCTTTTCTTTTATATTATTATATACTACTGTTCCACTCCAGGAAGTGGCAATACAAAAAAAGTTTAGTCACTCATATTTATTATGCTATATATATATATATATATATATATATGAGGGCAAGAATAAAGATTCCCTTTTGTCTCCTCTCATGCTCCACATAAGTTACTCAATTTCTTTCTCTTTCTTATTCCTCATGTACTTCTGTCTCTCTCTCTCTCATACATACCCATACTCACACAGTCCACCCACGGCAGCATCTAGTACAGTAACACATATCTTAATGTTAAGCAAAATTTAAAAGGTTATGGATTTTCTTTTTTTTTGGTTTCCATAAAACTAACAGTTCTTAATTTTATGACAGCTCATCTCTAGAATTTCAATGGATCACCCTCATCATACTTTGTTTATTATACTGGCTTTAGCAAATGCAAACAAAGATGAATTTTTGACCAAACCAGAGGCAGCAAGAAGGAGTAGAATAACTAAAAATGCACCTAAACAAAGCTCTCAGCTTGATGAGGTATCTGGATTGAACATGCATACCTTTTTGAACTGTAATATTCATTTTTTCCCAAAATATTCCTTTCTTAAGTCTCAGGAATTCTAGGAGTGTGTGTTCTTGACAGTATTCAGATTGTAAATCCTTTGTTATTGTGATGCTACCTAAAATTGGTTGAAAACTCCTGAATATTTCTCAAAGCATAAGAAATACCAAAAGTATTTTTACCTTTTTTCCTCAGAGCAATGAGCAAAGAAAAAATAAATTTTACAAGGCACCCAAGTCATTTACTCTTGAGATTATTATATCTTTGATGTATTTCATTCATAATAAGATGACTTGGTCTCTGAGGGATTATAGTCCTTCCATTGTCTAGCTTTGTGCATAAATTACTTTTCCTTTTGTTATTATAACTCTGAAAAGTTTAAGTCTTGGGTATTTGCTTATGTAATATTTTTTGTTTGTTTTTTATTAATAGGATCGAACCGAGGCTGCAAACAAAATAATACGTACTATGAGAAGCAGGAGACCTCAGATGGTCAGAAGTGTTGAGGCACTTTGTGATGCTTACATTATACTAGCAAATTTAGATGCCACTCAGTGGAAGACTCAGAGAAGTATGCAGTTTGAAAGAATGAGTGTTGCCTTCTTGCTGTGTTATTCTCTGTAGGGATGTATTAATTATAGAGCTTAATAATGTAAATCTGTTCAACTCACACACATTAATTATAGATGTGAATGTCCTGATGATTACAACTTACACATGATTCAAAACTTAATTTTTGTATAATAGCTTCAACACCCCTCCAGTCACTTTTTTACTTAATATCTTTTTGTGGAACTGATAATAGGTGACTGCACTCTAGGACTTAAAAATGGGAAGACCTTATCATTTTCTCCATTATTCTTCTTGCTGTGTCTATTTAAATAATTATAAGCTGCTATAATATTTGGTTATTTGTATCTCTCTCCCCATACTTTAATAATTGTATTCTTTTTTCTGTTCAGAATCATATCTTCACATTTAAATTTGTATTATTTTAAAATAAGAATGAGGCTTCTCATAGTGTTCCTCTCTAAGCAAACAAAGACTATTGTCATGTCCTTTAGTCAGATTTAATAGTAATATGACAGGAGTACATTATCTATGTGCTATTTACACTGTATATAATTATCTTAAGTTGCTCGATTTGACCCCTCAGGTAAATCTGGTCTAGTTACCCGCGCCAGGTAACCTGCAAATTCATTTGTAAGCCATGTTAACCATTGTTATGCCCTGACCCTGAGTGGCATTGTGTCCTGAGCTCTTGGTCTTCATTTCTAAATCAGGGCCTGAACCACAGATTAGCCACAGTTTGGGTTTATGGTACCTGCTGAATTCTCCTGCTTTACCTTCAGTACTATTCCTCAATTTGCAGTTGTCACTGAAACCTCTTTATTTTAAATACAGAAGGCATAAGTATTCCGGCAGACCAGCCCATTATCAAACTTAAAAATTTAGAAGATGTTGTTGTTCCTACTATGGAAATTAAGGTAATCTACCATTAACTGTTTTGATTATTTTTTAATTAAATAATTTATTTATTTTTTGACTGTGTTGGGTCTTCGTTTCTGTGCGAGGGCTTTCTCTAGTTGCGGCAAGTGGGGGCCACTCTTCATCGCGGTGCGCGGGCCTCTCACTATCGCGGCCTCTCTTGTTGCGGAGCACAGGCTCCAGACGCGCAGGCTCAGTAATTGTGGCTCACGGGCCTAGTTGCTCCGCGGCACATGGGATCCTCCCAGACCAGGGCTCGAACCCGTGTCCCCTGCATTGGCAGGCAGACCCTCAACCACTGTGCCACCAGGGAAGCCCCTGATTTTTTAATTAAGCTAAATTACTCTTTAGTAGGTTAAACCATTTGAAATAGCCTTTTTTTGTAGGTCAAAATTGGTTAAATATTGGCAGCTTCACTTGTTTCAACCTATAGTTTGTTTTATTTTTAATATTTATTTATTTGGTTGCATCAGGTCTTAGTTGTGGCATGCGGGATCTTTCTTTGTGGCACGCAGGCTCTTAATTGCGGAGTGTGGGCTTCTCTCTAGTCCCGGTGCACAGGCTCTCTAGTTGTGGCACGCAGACTCTAGAGTGTGTGGGCTTAGTTGCCCCATGGCATGTGGGATCTTAGTTCCCCAATCAAGGATCGAACCCACATCCCCTGCATTGGAAGGTGGATTCTCAGCCACTGGACCACAGCCTATAGTTTTTTTTCTTTATTGGATTCCCTTTGCCCAAGAATTAAAATATATAAAGTCCTCTCCTGCTTTCTTTTCTTTTGCCTTCATTTTTACAGCTTTCATCTTTCTTATGAAGAAGTCTATAGACTTATTTTTATTGGCCAGAAGAAGGAAAGATTTCATGTGTTTATGCCAAAATTAAGTTTTAACTGAGCAAGAAAGTCCCTAATTGTTTTATACTGGTTTTTAAAATTCTGTATGCATTAGAATGTATTGACTGTGATGTATTACGGTATTAAATAATACAATATGTATTACAATATTAAATTGACTATAATATACATGACACTTTCAGCTATGTCCTGATGGTCTTTTATTGTTAGAAGTACGGTGTTGCCAGGGATATATGTAATGATAAAGGTTACAGTTTAGAAAATGATGTTTTTAACTACATTGTAAAATCTCTCCTTTGAGTTTGTAGTTTAGTGTTTAATATCTGTAGTTGTTTGATTTGCAATGTAGCTTCATCATGTGGATTAACCTATCAGCAAATTATTTAACTGAATATTTCCTGAAAATGCCAGATTTAGCAATTACAACCAAGAAAACTCCTCTCCATATTTTTCTAAAATTTACCTTGTTTTTGTGAGGAGATGACTTAATTTATACAGATGACTTAACATATACAGGTCAGTGGCAAGACCCAAACCAGGGTTTTTCAGTAGTTTTTCAGTAACACTATTCTAACTTTGTATGCCCTACTTTTATTAAGAGATGTTTAGGGAGGTAAATTTTATCTATGTCAGTTTTTAAAGCCTTTCCAATGTCAGATCTTCTTTCTTTCATTTATAAAGTTACCACTTCAGTTCTTAACCAACAGCACATTGTCATTCATTCCTCTGTTTAATATTAAAATTGTCATTTATAATTCATTTTTCTTTAAATGCAAATTGTGTATCTGAGCTATTGTCATATTTATACATTTTATTAGGTCGACCCCACAGGGGAATATGGAAATCTGGTGACTATACAGTCATTTAAAGCAGAATTTCGTTTAGCAGGAGGTTTAAATTTACCAAAAATAATAGATTGTTTGGGTTCTGATGGCAAGGAAAGGAGACAGCTTGTCAAGGTGAGATTTTCCTTTTGTTGTTAATGAAAAAAGTCAAATAGAAAACTTTAGTTGATATTTTCTTCCTACTTTGGGTCTTTATTTTTTTATTGTTTTTTGCGGTACGCGGGCCTCTCACCGCTGCAGCCCCTCCCATTGCGGAGCACAGGCTCCGGACGCGCAGGCCCAGTGGCCATGGCCCACGGGTCCAGCCACTCCGAGGCACGTGGGATCCTCCCGGACCGGGGCACGAACCCATGTCCCCTGCATCGGCAGGCGGACTCTCAACCACTGCACCACCAGGGAAGCCCTGGGTCTTTATTTTTATTCTGAATAAGGAAAACATAAACTAGAAATATATTGTTTTCTAGAAGCAGAATGCTTTTCCTCATTTTTTTGTCTCTCTGAAAGACCAGCCTTATTATAATAGTTGGTTGAAGTAAAAGAATACTTTTAACATGTACAGACATGATGAGATTAACAATCAACCTGCTTGTTATGGGAAAAAAGATTTCTGGTGAGTGTAGCTTATTTTTTTGAATAGTTCAAGTTGAAGGCCCTTGCCTCAATATCCTGAGTCTGGCACTGTGCTAAGTGCTATTAAATGTATCAGAAAGCAACAGCATTCCTCCCTTACTCTGCTCTTAAGCTCTTTGGGCCTTGCTGGGAAGTAGTAGAGGAACAACAGTGCTCTTCTACACTTGTATTTTACAGTGTGCCCTCAAGTGGAGGGATTCCAATTATTTTAATTACAAGAGCAGCAAGTGGGGGGAAACTTCTTATTTCTAAATTGGTCTGCCTACCCAGTGGTATAGCTTATTCTAAATGAAAGAATAGTATTAGGTCTTAATTATTTAAGAGACTATTATGAGGAGCACAATCCTCGGATTGATTTCTAAGTTCCCTTTGGCTGTCCTCGGATGACTCTTCGTGTGATTTTATAATAAAGAAAATGAACTACACTTAGTTATTTGTGTTTTGATTATTCTGAAGGGCCGCGATGACCTGAGACAAGATGCTGTCATGCAGCAGGTTTTCCAGATGTGTAATACATTGCTGCAGAGAAATACTGAAACCAGGAAGAGGAAGTTGACTATCTGTACATATAAGGTAACTAGTTTATACTTCTGCTTCATTAAGGACATGTAAAAGACACCATTATTCAGGCAGGGGTCAGCAAGCGTTTTCTGTAAATTTTGGAGATTAATCCTTTGTCAGTTCCTTCATTTGCAAATATTTTCTCCCATTCTGAGGGTTGTCTTTTGGTCTTGTTTATGGTTTCCTTTGCTGTGCAAAAGCTTCTAAGTTTCATTAGGTCCCATTGTTTATTTTTGTTTTTATTTCCATTTCTCTAGGAGGTGAGTCAAAAAGGATCTTGCTGTGATTTATGTCATAGTGTTCTGCCTATGTTTTCCTCTAAGAGTCTGATAGTTTCTGGCCTTACATTTAGGTCTTTAATCCATTTTGAGCTTATTTTTGTGTATGGTGTTAGGGAGTGTTCTAATCTCATACTTTTACATGTACCTGTCCAGTTTTCCCAGCACCACTTATTGAAAAGGCTGTCCTTTCTCCACTGTACATTCCTGCCTCCTTTATCAAAGATAAGGTGACCATATGTGCGTGGGTTTATCTCTGGGCTTTCTATCCTGATCCATTGATCTATCTTTCTGTTTTTGTGCCAGTACCATACTGTCTTGATTACTGTAGCTTTGTAGTATAGTCTGAGGTCAGGGAGCCTGATTCCTCCAGCTCCGTTTTTCGTTCTCAAGATTGCTTTAGCTATTCGGAGTCCTTTGTGTTTCCATACAAATTGTGAAATTTTTTGTTCTAGTTCTGTGAAAAATGCCAGTGGTAGTTTGATAGGGATTGCATTGAATCTGTAGATTGCTTTGGGTAGTGTAGTCATTTTCACAATGTTGATTCTTCTAATCCAAGAACATGGTATGTCTCTCCATCTAGTTGTATCATCTTTAATTTCTTTCATCAGTGTCTTATAATTTTCTGCATACAGGTCTTTTGTCTCCTTAGGTAGATTTATTCCTAGATATTGTATTCTTTTTGTTGCAATGGTAAATGGGAGTGTTTTCTTGATTTCACTTTCAGATTTTTCATCATTAGTGTATAGGAATGCCAGAGATTTCTGTGCATTAATTTTGTATCCTGCTACTTTACCAAATTCATTGATTAGCTCTAGTAGTTTTCTGGTAGCATCTTTTAGGATTCTCTATGTATAGTATCATGTCATCTGCAAACAGTGACAGCTTTACTTCTTCTTTTCCGATTTGGATTCCTTTTCTTCTCTGATTGCTGAGGCTAAAACTTCCAAAACTATGTTGAATAAGAGTGGTGAGAGTGAGCAACCTTGTCTTCTTCCTGATCTTAGTGGGAATGCTTTCAGTTATTCACCATTGAGGATGATGTTGGCTGTGGGTTTGTCATATATGGCCTTTATTATGTTGAGGAAAGTTCCCTCTATGCCTACTTTCTGCAGGATTTTTATCATAAATGGGTGTTGAATTTTCTTGAAAGCTTTCTCTGCATCTATTCAGATGATCATATGGTTTTTCTCCTTCAATTTCTTAAAATTGTTTATCACATTGATTGATTTGCGTATATTGAAGAATCCTTGCATTCCTGGAATAAACCCCACTTAATCATGGTGTAGGATCCTTTTAATGTGCTGTTGGATTCTGTTTGCTAGTATTTTGTGGAGGATTTTTGCATCTATGTTCATCAGTATATTGGCCTGTAGTTTTCTTTCTTTGTGACATCTTTGTCTGGTTTTGGTGTCAGGGTGATGGTGGTCTCGTAGAATGAGTTTGGGAGTGTTCCTCCCTCTGCTATATTTTGGAAGAGTTTGAGAAGGATAGGTGTTAGCTCTTCTCTAAATGTTTGATAGAATTCGCCTGTGAAGCCATCTGGTCCTGGGCTTTTGTTTGTTGGAAAATTTTTAATCACAGTTTCAATTTCAGTGCTTGTGATTGGTCTGTTCATATTTTCTAGTTCTTCCTGCTTCAGTCTGAGAAGGCTGTGCTTTTCTAAGAATTTGTCCCTTTCTTCCAGGTTGTCCATTTTATTGGCATAGAGTTGCTTGTAGTAATCTCTCATGATCCTTTGTATTTTTGCAGTGTCAGTTATTACTTCTCCTTTTTCATTTCTAATTCTATTGATTTCAGTTCTCCCTTTTTTTCTTGATGAGTCTGGCTAATGGTTTATCAATTTTGTTTACCTTCTCAAGGAACCATCTTTTAGTTTTATTGATCTTTGCTCTCGTTTCCTTCATTTCCTTTTCATTTATTTCTGATCTGACCTTTATGATTTCTTTCCTTCTGCTAACTTTGGGGAGTTTTTGTTCTTCTTTATCTAATTGCTTTAGGTGCAAGGTTAGGTGTTTATTCGAGATGTTTCCTGTTTCTTAAGGTAGGATTGTATTGCTATGAACTTCCCTCTTAGAACTGCTTTTGCTGCATCCCATAGGTTTTGGGTCGTCATGTCTCCATTGTCATTTGTTTCTAGGTATTTTTTGATTTCCTCTTTGATTTCTGCAGTGATCACTTCATAATTAAGTATGTATTGTTTAGCGTCCATGTGTTCGTGTTTTTTACAGATCTTTTCCTGTAATTGATATCTAATCTCATAGCGTTCTGGTCAGAAAAGATACTTGATACAATTTCAATTTTCTTAAATTTACCAAGGCTTGATTTGTGACTCAAGATATGATCTATCCTGGAGAATGTTCCATGAGCACTTGAAAAAATGTGTATTCTGTTTTTCTGGGATGGAATGTCCTATAAATACCAAACATCAAACAAGTCCATCTTGTTTAATGTATCATTTAAAGCTTGTGTTTCCTTATTTATTTTCATTTTGGATGATCTGTCTATTGGTGAAAGTGGGGAGTTAAAGTCCCCTACTATGAATGTGTTACTGTCGATTTCCCCTTTACTGGCTGTTAGTATTTGCCTTATGTATTGATGTGCTCCTATGTTGGGTGCATAAATATTTACAATTGTTATATCTTCTTCTTGGATCGATCCCTTGATCATTATGTAGTGTCATTCTTTGTCTCTTCTAATAGTCTTTGTTTTAAAGTCTATTTTGTCTGATATGAGAATTGATCCTCCAGATTCTTTTGGTTTCCATTTGCATGGAATATCTTTTTCCATCCCCTTACTTTCAGTCTGTATGTGTCTCTAGGTCTGAAGTGGGTCTCTTGTAGACAGCATATATACGGGTCTTGTTTTCATATCCATTCAGCCAGTCTGTGTCTTTTGGTGGGAGCATTTAATCCATTTACATTTAAGGTAATTATCGATATGTATGTTCCTATTCCCATTTTCTTAATTGTTTTGGGTTTGTTATTGTAGGTCTTTTCCTTCTCTTGTGTTTCTTGCCTAGAGAAGTTCCTTTAGCATTTGTTGTAAAGCTGGTTTGGTGGTGCTGAACTCTCTCAGCTTTTGCTTGTCTGTAAAGGTTTTAATTTCTCCATCAAATCTGAATGAGATCCTTGCTGGGTAGAGTAATCTTGGTTGTAGGTTTTTCTCCTTCATCACTTTCAATATGTCCTGCCAGTTCCTTCTGGCTTGCAGAGTTTCTGCTGAAAGATCAGCTGTTAACCTTATGGGGATTCCCTTGTGTGTTATTTGTTGTTTTTCCCTTGCTGCTTTTAATATGTTTTCTTTGTATTTAATTTTTGACAGTTTGATTAATATGTGTCTTGGCGTGTTTCTCCTTGGATTTATCCTGTATGGGACTCTCTGTGCTTTTTGGACTTAATTAACTATTTCCTTTCCCATATTAGGGAAGTTTTCAACTATAATCTCTTCAAATATTTTCTCAGTCCCTTTCCTTTTCCCTTCTTCTTCTGGGACCCCTATTATTTGAATGTTGGTGCGTTTAATGTTGTCCCAGAGGTCTCTGAGACTGTCTTAGTTCTTTTGATTCTTTTTTCTTTATTACGCTATGCAGTAGTTATTTCCACTATTTTATCTTCCAGGTCATTTATCTGTTCTTCTACCTCAGTTATTCTGCTATTGATCCCTTCTAGAGTATTTTTAATTTCACTTATTGTGTTGTTCATCATTACTTGTTTACTCTTTAGTTCTTCTAGGTCCTTGTTAAATGTTTCTTGCATTTTCTCTATTCTGTTTCCAAGATTTTGGATCACCTTTAGTATCATTTTTCTGAATTCTTTTTCAGGTAGACTGCCTATTTCCTCTTCATTTGTTAGGTCTGGTGGGTTTTTATCTTGCTCCTTCATCTGCCGTGTGTTTTTCTGTCTTCTCATTTTGCTTACCTTACTGTGTTTGGGGTCTCCTTTTCGCAGGCTGCAGGTTTGTCGTTCCTGTTGTTTTTGGTGTCTGTCCCCAGTGGCTAAAGTTGGTTCAGTGGGTTGTGTAGACTTCCTGGTAGAGGTGACTAGTGCCTGTGTTCTGGTGGATGAGGCTGGATCTTGTCTTTCTGGTGGGCAGGTACATGTTTGGTGGTGTGTTTTGGGGTGTCTGTGGCCTTATTATGATTTTAGGCAGCCTTTCTGCTAATGGGTGGGATTGTGTTCCTGTCTTGCTATTTATTTGGCACAGGGTGTCCAGCAATGTAGGTTGCTGTTCATTGAGTGAAGCTGGGTGTTGGTGTTGAGATGGAGATCTCTGGGAGATTTTTGCCATTTGATATTACGTGTAGCTGGGAGGTCTTCTGTGGACTAGTGACCTGAACTTGGCTCTTCCACCTCAGAGGCACAGCACTGACTCCTGGCTGCAGCTCCAAGAGCCTTTCATCCACATGGCTCATAATAAAAGGGAGCCAAAGTAGAAAGGAGGGAAGGAGGGAGGGAGGAAGGAAGAAAGAAGGAAAGAAAATAAGAAAGAAAGAGGATAAAATAAAATAAAGTAAGATAAAATAAAGTTATTAAAATAAAAAATAATTATTAAGAAAAAAAATTTTTTTAAGTCAAAAAAAAAAATGGATGGATAGAACCCTAGGACAAATGGTGAAACAAAGCTGTACAGACAAAATCTCACACAGAAGCATACACATACACACTCACAAAAAGAGGAAAAGGGCAAAAAATAATAAATCTTGCTCTCAAAGTCCACCTCCTCAATTTGGGA